AGGGCATTTCTCGCTTATGTTTACAAACACGTCGGCATTTGTTGGCAGGGATGTTTATTGTGTGTGAAAGCAGATATACTGTTTGTTCGTATAACGTAACAGCTCTGACACATATCTAATAAGATTTTTATTGATTGAATTATTCATAATAGGTGTTCTAAATTTTCTATTACTTGTGTTTAGTTAATACTTTCGCAAAAATGGAAATATAATGAAATTTCAATTAATTATCCGGGTATCGAGGTCATACGAATCTGTATATATTTAATAATTCGCCTATATCTACATCGTTTAAAACGGTTTTGGTTTGGCTGTTTTTTATAATTTGTGAGAAATATAGGGAAATGTACATATCTAGAATTTATGATAGACGCATACATAATAACGATAAATAAAATAATTCAATTGAAAACAAAAAATGATAACTTTTATTATTGGGCCATTACTTTCCATTTCGCAGTTAAGTGGCTGATGGTGAAAAAGGGTTAATTTGCATTATTGTTGATCCCTTCTGAATCTCAAGCTCATGGTTTTGGTTTAGTTCATAATGGTTTTGAAGAGAGACCAAAAATGTTGTCCGGTTGTTAGATTTAGTACCTTAAGTAACTTCTCTAAATTTTAAAATGCACAAATTAAGGAATGTTACGCAACTGCCCCGCTGTTTCAAAATTAATTGAGATAATTAGGATTCCTAATTTTCTTACCCCTCGCATCACAGACGATTCAAAGAAGGATGAAACATATTTATCATGGAATGTAAATCATTTTGGCACTCTGTATCTATTATTTTAAAGGTAAAGTTAATTGTGTTATGCTTATCTTTTATACTTGGCGAGTCCCAACGTCAAGCCTACTTTACCTTATGGCAATATGTGACAATAATTTTTGGATATGCCTGATCAAACAGGATATCTGAAATGAAACAAGTTCTGTAATGAGGAAGAGGGAAAATGTTTTATTGTATTGCAAGTCATCAAAGTTGATCAACCGGCAGGTGTGCACAACAATAATTGGCTTACATCCACACGTATCCAATATTGGGTTATACTGTAGGATACAAGGATATATTGTACGTTACTGAGGATGTATCTACTATACTGTGTTGGTTCATTGAAGGTTTAGGGTAACATCGCTGACCTGCCTTGCTCCGCTGTTTGTTAGAATTGGCGTATGTGGTCCAGAGCAGAATCAGCATTTGTGATGGTCGTTTGCGATGTAGTAGACCAATCACAAAACAATCTACGAATCTACGAATTATTAAACAGGTATATATACAGTTTTGTCAGATTGGACAGGAATATTGTATAGGAGAAAGTCGACATAATATGACTATTAGATATAAAAAAAAGTCATTATGGTTACCACTTGTTGCTATTACAGCTACCATCCATGGAACTACGTTCGATTTTGTTTGTATCGGGTTAAATGTCCTCACAAAACAGTTAGAGTCAAGCAAAGACCGGTAGAAACACCAACCAAAATAAACAGTAAAAAATATAAATACCCCAAACATCGACGATAAATTAAATTTCTTCCGTGTCACCTCAAACGAAGACTTAGAGGATAACCCTGATTAGCTTTCGACTAGTTTATAGCTACCATAGTATGCGTAGTGGCTATTAAACAAATGTTACATGGAAATGTAAAACCAATTCATGATCTGAACTAAAGTCAATAAAATAAGCCAAATAATTAACAAAGTAGGACGTAGACCTTGAAGAGACACAATCAGAATGATGAACCTACACTGATTTAACCATTTTTATTTTTAGTGTCCTTACAGTAAAACATCATTGGACATAAATATAACAAGAAGCCCAGGGGCCTTAATAGCTCACCTGGTATTTTATTTTTCAATTTAAAACCTGCTGAGTACCATTCAGGTTTATCAAAGGAGTACAAGTAACAAAGTTGCATCTTCCATTTATAAATCTTCAATTCCCTTTGCCCAAAGCTTCTCTAAAACAAGTTTGGTTAGGTTAAAATCCCTTCAACGGTACAGAAGGAGAAGGATCTTTAATGTTTTCCTCTATTTCCCCTAATGGGCCCCACTAATCTGCCCCAGAGAAGGGGAATCCACACACCTCAGTTTAAACAAAATTGATTCTTTTCTCCCTAAGCATGCTTCAGACTGCATTTGGTTTAAATCCCTTCACTTGTATAGTAGGAGAAAAAAAATCCTCTATTTCCCCTATTGGGCCCCGCTCCTATGCCGCCAGAAGGCCCACACCCTCCGTTTATACAAACTTGAGTCTCCTTTGTCCAAAGATGCTCTAGGACAAATTTGGTCAAAATCCTTCTATTGGTTGAGAAGAAGAAGATTTTTAAAGATTTACCTATTTTCCCCCTATTTGGCCCCGCTCCTCTGCCCCCAGGGGGGTTATACCCTCCGTTTATACAAAACTGAGAACCCTTTGGCCAATGATGCTCCTGACCAAATTTGGTCAAAATCCTCTGAGCCATTCAGGACAAGTAGCATTTTAAAGGAAAAAGTTGACGGACGACGGACGACGGACGCTGCACCATGGGATTAGCTCACTTGGCGCTTCGGGCCAGGTGAGCTAAAAACATTATGTAGCACTTACCTGAGAAACAATGACGAAGATCAATCATAACATTGGGACCAAAACGCTGTTTAGGTCTCTTCAGGGTCACTGAATGTGTAAAGGACCCGGAAATCGTTGCCACTTACGATCAGGCTCTGTCTCTGTTAGGAGCCCTCGGAGTAGCTTCTTACGATTGGACAGATTCGCCTACAGGGATACAAAGACTAAGGTTCATTTCAGCATATTAAATAGTGTATACCAAGAAACCTTCGCCCAGTAAAATATTCACTTTTTTCAGGTAAAATTCCTATTTTCCTCAGTGTAAATTCCGTTCTTCACATGTAATTACAATATAGGGTATTTTGTACTGATATATAATTTATAATTAATATAGCCTTGTTGTGGAGGGCGAAAAAGACGAAAGCTACACTGCAGCAAAATATCCCCGGTATTCAGTTAGTAATTCCAATCAAGGTATAAACCTTAAGGAAGGTAGCGGTATTAATCACCGGTTCCTTACTACGTTTTTAGGTGAAGTCTACATTTGGATATTGATGACTGCGGTATTTTTACATAAATCGTAACAATAATAATTATTTCTCAGCTATAAAAAAATGTTTTCTAAGTCAAAGACAATCTCATTTAAAAAAAAAAAAAAATGGAAATATAAAAATTAAATGGTAGTCATACCAGACAGACGTACGTCGCCCACGTTTTTTCCTTTGCAATCCTAAAATCGTTTATTAAATAAATAAGCAAACAACCTATATGTCAAAATTGCATCATGCGCAAATATTGATACATGTACTAATATTCCTCCTATAAAAGCCACACTCGAAGTACTTACTAGTACTAGTATTCCTCTTACAATAGCCACACACACCAGTACTTACTACAACTAGCATTCCCTCTACATAGTCAGACCATTAGTACTTTCTAGTACTAGAATTACTCCTACCATAGCCAGACCCACATTACTAACTAGTACTAGTATTACTCTAACCATAGCCAGACCATTAGTACTGACTACTACGAGGATTCCTCCTACCAACGCCAGACCCACAGTACCAACGCCAGACCCACGGTACTTACTAGTACTGGTTTTCCTCCTACCATAGCCAGACCCTTAGTACTTTTAGCACTAATATTCATCCTACAATAGCTGACCCTTATAACTTACTAGTGCTAGTATTCCGCCTTTCATAGCTAGACCCTTTATTAGTTCTCCTACAAAGCCAAACACTTTGTACTATTTAGTCCTAGTATTCCTCCTACCATAGCCAGGCCCACAGTACTTACTAGTACTAATATTCTTCCTACCATAGCCAGGCTCTTAGTACTTACCAGTACTAGTATTACCCATTCCATAGCCAGACACCCAATACTCACTAGTACTTGTATTTCATCTACCATAGCCAGTCCCACAATACTTACTAGTATTTGTATTTATCTACCATAGCCAGTCCCACAATACTTACTAGTAATTGTATCTCTTCTACCATAGCCAGACACCCAGTACTTACTAGTAATTGTATTTATCTACCATAGCCAGACCCACAGTACTTACTAGTAATTGTATCTCTTCTACCATAGCCAGACACCCAGTACTTACTAGTAATTGTATTTAACTACCATAGCCAGACCCACAGTACTTACTAGTAATTGTATATATCTACCATAGCCAGACCCACAGAACTTACTAGTAATTGTATTTATCTACCATAGCCAGACCCACAGCACTTACTAGTAATTGTATCTATCTACCATAGCCAGATCCACAGTACTTACTAGTAATTGTATTTATCTACCATAGCCAGACACCCAGTACTTACTAGTAATTGTATTTCTTCTACCATAGCCAGACCCACAGTTCTTACTAGTACTTGAATTTCGCCTACCATAGCCAGACCCCGAAATCTGTTTATTTTAGTACTAGCATTTCCCAAACAATAACCGGATCATCGTTTGATGGTACATTGCCTAACAATTTTGGATTTCTCAATATCCACCTCACGTTGTTGGCCATATATACATAGATATATATTTAAATGTACTAGTTGCAAGTCAGGATGTTTTGATGCACGGGTTTTTATATTGTCTTTTGCCATCTTGTGTGTAAAGATTTTGTGTAAAGATCACGAGGTAGAAAATCACGAGACAAGCACACCTTTCCACTTGAATGGTTTACTTTATGCAGTATTTCATGTTAACCTCGAAAAGTTCTAGTTCTGCAGCACACGTCGAGTAACTTGTGACACGTTACCATGTGATCAGTATATGTGGATCTGCCATATTAAGTTATTCTATTTTTGTATGAAAAAATAGCAAGTTCGATCAAGTACATTTATAGGCTAATAATCTTTAAATATCGAACATAGATAATACATGTAATATTAAGGCACTTTTCAACCAATCAGTACAAAACCTCCCTCTCTTTTTTGTTAATGGGTAAGATTATATACGGGCGTAAGAATGTTTGTCGTCTTTGTTCATGTAAACATGGTTCACAAATGTCTCTGGTTCTGTTCGTTCGTTGACTTCTATCCGCCGGTGGAGCTTGACTGCCTCGATGTTACTGATCTTATCGGAGTACTTGACTTTCATGTACAAAACAGCCAGGCTAGTGATGTTTAATACACACAGTATACAAATCACCGCGATGTAGCTAGGCTCCTTCACCTTGAAATGGTCCCAATGTCCATAAGGCATGCTGTCGGAGGCTGAAGTGGGAAATATTGGTAAAATAAATTGTTGGCGATGCATTTAAGTTTTTCTGAACTTCTAATTAAAAGAATAAAGTTATGTAAATCTTTTGTTTTAGGGAATAAAATAAGAGCACATGGCCCAGTTGACTAAATGCTTATCATTACCATACTATGGTCTTTAAACGGGTTTCACTCCCCGTAACTCATGTAATAATATAAACAAGGCTTCAATCAATGTTCATAGAATCTAAAAAGAAATCTATATGTTTACACATTAACTGCTTCGTTATTATCTGACTTTGACTTTACGATGATGTCGTTTTAATTATTGTCTAATATGTCAAAAATAACATACCTGTTTAATTGTCAGAAAGATGGACGTAACACACACATACACTCAAATGTGTTTGTACTTTTAAAAATTAACCGACCATTTCAAGTTTTAAGCCTTATAAATCTCGATATTTAATAAGAGAATAAACACTTAAAAACACGTTAACAAGCAATCACAAATAAAAAAGTAATAAATAATTCAAAATGGCACCTATATTGATTACTGAATTAATTCGAAAATTGAAGATATGTCTGGAAATAAAACTGGTTTTCACTAGTTAAGTCTGTGGTTTAAACTTTTATGTAAGAAAGTTAACTGTGGTGAGAGAATTAGTACGATATGTATCTTACTATATCAATCAGAAACGATTTGATGAAAAACACAAATTGTATATATATTCTTTATTTATCATACCCTCTGTTATGAGTATCCTAAGCATTGTTATTTTTATCAATCATTTATTTTTGCTTGTGGCAACTATCTCTAGATCTTTTAACATATACAATACAGCTTTACATCCTGTTCTCTGTAACCATTTTTGTTACATGTTTGAAGTAATTTCTTCTTTCGTGTATAGGAACAGTATTAGATATGATTAAAATATTTAATTCAATTTGTCCACAAAATGATCCCGATAAGCAATATGAAAACATTAATGAAATTAGTAATGCTCAACAATAAGTGTCTTCATATGTTTTCCTTCAAAATTATATATTTTTTTTCGAGAGAGTACTTGTGCGTAATTTGTTCAGGTAAAACAAATTTTATTATATATTAACATCCACATATGTTATTAGATAATCCACATTTTCAAAAGTACAGAAAAAAATATTAATAGAAGAACCCGTATTCAAATCCTTTTTACATTTTTTTTATGTACTTATCCAATCCAACATCTCAGGAAGAGAAAGTGTTTCGTTATTTTAATGGCATAAACCTTGTAACATTGTGTTATAATGATACAGATTAATAATATCTCTATCAATTCATATAACCAATTATTTTCTTACAAACTTATTAAAGCAATTGAAATGAATGGTTCTTGTGATTTTAAATACCTAAATCATTATTTGATAAAAATAATCGAGGATTGTCGGTACATATTATGTTTCTATCATGATACGCTAAATTTCAAAAATTATTATCCAATTTTTTAAAATATCTACCAAACACAAATGAAACAGCAGCTTAAAGACAATATGACCTAGGATTACCTGAGTTCAAAGTGCAAAAAGAATCTAAATACATTTACACTTTTCGTACATGCGACCTATGTTTATAGGATTGTTTATGCTCATTACATAAAAAATGAATATAAAGTGTCGTCATATGACTGTTTTATTACATTGTTATTATTTAGTTACGTCATGTGGTTGTTGCATTGCATTGTTACTACATATGTATCTAGTTACGTTACGTCGTATGACAGTTGTATACATTTGTTACTATTATGCTTTGTCATATGACTGTTGTATTGCATTGTTACTTTGAAGTGTTGTAAAATGGCTGCGTTATCACATTGTAACTATTAAGTGTCGTCATAGGACTGTTTAAGCTGATTGTTAGTTTTTAGTTTCATCATTTGTCTGAAAAATTATATTTTTACAATCAAATGTCGTCAAACGGCGCCTGTATTACATTATTATTAATATTATGGGTCGTATTATGGCTGATGTATCACATTGTTACTGTTTAGTTTCGTCATATGACTGTTGTTTTACATTGCGCTACATGTACTGTTAAGCGGCGTCATATGAATTTTGTATTTCAGTGTTTGATTATTGAGTTGCATACGGCTGTTGCGTTACATTGTTACTATTTACTGTCGTCATATGACTGTTGCTAAACATTGATACTGTTAAGTGTCGTCATATGGCTGTTGCATTGCAGTGTTACTATTTATTATCGTCAACTAGCTCCTGTTTTACATTGTTATTATTTAGTGTCGTCATATGGCTGTGGTATTACATTCCAACTATTAATTGTCGTCAAATAGCTCCTGTATTACATTGTTAGTATTTTGTGTCGTCATATGTATGTGGTGTTACATTGTTAATATTATGTGTCGTCATATGGCTGTGGTATTACATTGGTACTATTAAGCTTCGTCATATGGCTGCTGTATTAAACTGTCACTATTGTAACTTGTCTTTGCGTGTTTTTAAAAAAAAAATGGTTTATTTTGTCCGTTTGTATAAACACTAAAGTACATTTTGTCTTTTTGTCATTGTGTAAAGCCAATGTGGTATTTCTTTTTGTAGCATTTAAAATTGCTTTTTTGGTAATTAACACTATGGTGTTTTTGTTCCTTAGACTTAACACTTTGCTTGTTATTTTGTCCTTGCCTATTAATATGTTAGTATTTTGTTCTTGTCTTTTGATATTTAAGCGTTTTATCCTTGTCGATTAATATTTCAGTGTTTTATCCTTGTCTATTAAAATGTGTAGTAGTTTGTTCTTATTGGTAAATATTCTAGTAGTCCATCTGTTTAATACTGTGGTATAATGCGTCCTATTGTGTTAACGCTGTGTTTTATGTTGCTCTGGTACGTTAACATTGTGGTAACTCTATCTTTCAGTAATAATGCTGTGTAAATTTTATCGTGACGCTGGGGTATTTGCCCATCTGATTTATTTGAAACAGTGACCTTTTTATATCACGTTAATTCTTATATTTTTTATAGAGCCAACTACGTTGAAAAATATTGCTACAGTTGTCACATTAGTGTTATTTTATTCTCACCTGTTGATTTATGACGATTTGGTTAGATGGAGACGGATATTACAATCACAATATCTGTTACACACGATATACTCCAGTATATGTTAACAATGTCTCCTCGTGATTTACCTGGAATTTGGTCTGATGATAAGGTGTTGAGTAGGCTATTCCCTTTCAGAAGATTTGTCGAAGCACCTAGTGAGAAAAAGTTACCACATCCTTGTAGTCCTGATGGAGGGGTTGGCATCTGTCCAGTTTCTCCCTCTTGTAGAATGAGTGCCATCCCTGTTATTGCGTGGGGTTCCATATGGCAGTGCATGAACCAAAACCCTGGCAGTAGACGGTATGAGTTGTTTTAAGGAGGAGAAGATATAGGTTTATTGTTATCAGTTAATATGTTAGTTACAGAAGTAAGTCATGACTATCTTATGGATAAAATACCATAAAGATTTATTCTACTGATTGTAAGGGGTATATAAAGGATATTTAGCGGTTAAACGGGAAATGTTTAACGTTTTCTTTATGACATCTTTTTAGGTCCCTACAATAACAAAAATACCTATGCATCATAGACGTCTAGCGTAATCTATGGCCCCATTATCTGCAGATTGACATTTTTGAATTGGCTATTCAACACATTTTCTGGTATTATCACATTGATTATGCTCAGTAGTGTGCCTTATGGCTTTGTTGTCACAACCTTACTTCTAGGCGTGAAGACTTGACATATAATTGACCTAGATATACATGGTAGGTGGCGTCAATAAAGCAAAGGACGCTTAACATTATGGAACACCTGGTCTTAATTCTTGGAATTCATTCCTTCGTGCGTATTTTGCAATAGTTTTATCAGTTTTGAGTTTGAATTATAATTTGATTCACACCTAAATATTTTCTATGTTAACCGCCTATTAACTATCACTTCATCTTCTAAATTGTTTTGTGGCTTTCAATTGCAGGGAGTAGAAAGTACTATTCTGATTGGTCGATATGATGATATAATGCTTATATCTGTTGTCTGTACACTTCATTTGCTTTTAATTTTTGTTCGACAAGCTAGACACAATGCTTCTAAGAAATTGGATTATCTAAACATAAAGCACAGCACATGTAAAGATATTACTGAACTATTACATATCGAAGCCTTGCCGGGGAACCAGGATTGTATCCTTCAATTGCGGATCCTCCAGGTTGGCTTCAGGCAGACCATCCCCTGCCCAGGACGGGTTTAGCCAAGTCGCATTATTACAGATTGGCGTATCGAACAGAATGTCAGCATTCTGCTGAGTGATAGGTCCAGTAGAATCGGTGTTGTATTTAGGATAGCCTACTTTTATGACGTGAACATGATGCCCATGTATATGAATTCCATGAGCCAGACCATTTCTGTTGTTATCTGTTCATTTCAAAACGAAGCTGTGTCAGCTAGCAACGAATAAAGTATTTTTAACGACAATCAATATACCCTATGTTATTATAGGGATGATAAATATATTAGCCTAAAAATAGAAATTGAACCCCTTTCCAAGAAGCACAGTAATCAATTGATAAGGGTTAAGTGCTTTGTTTACATATTTTTTCAGCAAATCATATATTGTATTTTTGTATTATTTAACTTTATCCGTTCGAGCGTACTCATATTGAGGAGAACTAGTTGAATGGTATCGTTGATGGCCAACTTGACGATATTGGTACAGTCACATATATCCTGACATTCTGCATCAATACAGGGAACGTGTGTGTCATTACCACTAGGTAGCAACTGTAAAGGTAAATTATAATGAATTCAAACGTCACCATCAACAATACTGATGGACAACATAGAAACAAACGGTAACCCATGACGCATCATGACAGACAATGACAGTTCGCCAAGTGATACCATGACAGAAAATAAAAGTTAGCCATGTGAAAACATAATAGAAAATAACAGTTAACCATGTGAAAACATGACAGAAAATAACAGTTAGCCATGTGAAAACATGACAGAAAATAACAGTTAGACATGTGAAAACATAACAGAAAATAACAGTTAGCCATGTGAAAACATGACAGAAAATAACATTTAGGCATGTGATAACATGACAGAAAATAACAGTTACTCATGTGAAAACATAACAGAAAAAAAACAGTTAACCATGTGAAAACATGACAGACAATCACAGTTCGCCAAGTGAAAACATGACAGACAGTCACAGTTCGCCAAGTGAAAACATGACAGATAGTCACAGTTCGCCAAGTGAAAACATGACAGACAGTCACAGTTCGACAAGTGAAAACATGACAGACAATCACAGTTCGCCAAGTGAAAACATGACAAACAATCACAGTCAGCCATGTGAAAACAAGACAGAAAATAACAGTAAGCCATGTGAAAACATGACAGAAAATAACAGTTAGCCATGTGAAAACATGACAGAAAATACCATTTAACCATGTGAAAACATGACAGACAATCACAGTTCGCCAAGTGAAAACATGACAGACAATCACAGTTCGCGAAGTGAAAATATGACAGACAATCACAGTTCGCCAAGTGAACACATGACAGACAATCACAGTTCGCCATGTGAAAACATGACAGACAATCACAGTTCGTCAAGTAAAAACATGACAGACAATCACAGTTCGCCAAGTAAAATGAAGACAGACAATCACAGTTCGCCAAGTGAAAACATGACAGACAATCACAGTTAGCCATGTAAAAACATGACAGAAAATAACAGTTAGCCATGTTAAAACATGACAGACAATCACAGTTCGTCCGGTGAAAACATGACAGGAAATAACAGGTTAGCAATGTGAAAACATGACAGAAAATAACAGTTTGCCAAGTGAAAACATAACAGAAAATAACAGTTAGCCATGTGAATTTTTTTTTAGAAAATAACAGGTATCCATGTGAAAACATAATAGAAAATAGCAGTTACCGATGTGAAAACATGACAGAAAATAACAGTTAGCCATGTGAAATCATGACAGAAAATAACAGTTAGCCATGTGAAAACATGACAGAAAATAACAGTTAGCCATGTGAAAACATGACAGAAAATAACAGTTAGCCATGTGAAAACATGACAGAAAATAACAGTTAGCCATGTGAAAACATGACAGAAAATAACAGTTAGCCATGTGAAAACATGACAGAAAATAACAGTTAGCCATGTGAAAACATGACAGAAAATAACAGTTAGCCATGTGAAAACATGACAGAAAATAACAGTTAGCCATGTGAAAACATGACAGAAAATAACAGTTAGCCATGTGAAAACATGACAGAAAATAACAGTTAGCCATGTGAAAACATGACAGAAAATAACAGTTAACCATGTGAAAACATGACAGAAAATAACAGGTACATGTAGCCATGTGAAAACATAACAGAAAATAATATTTAACCATGTGAAAACATGACAGACAATCACAGTTCGCCAAGTGAAAACATGACAGACAATCACAGTTCGTCAAGTGAAAACATGACAGACAATCACAGTTCGCCAAGTGAAAACATGACAGAAAATAACAGTTAACCATGTGAAAACATAATAGAAAATAACACTTAACCATGTGAAAACATGACAGAAAATAACAGTTTACCATGTGAAAACATAACAGAAAATCACAGTTCGCCAAGTGAAAACATGACAGACAATCACATTCCGCCAAGTGAAAACATGACGGACAATCACAGTTCGCCAAGTGAAAACATGACAGAAAATAACAGTTAACCATGTGAAAACATAATAGAAAATAACACTTAACCATGTGAAAACATGACAGAAAATAACAGTTTACCATGTGAAAACATAACAGAAAATCACAGTTCGCCAAGTGAAAACATGACAGACAATCACATTCCGCCAAGTAAAATCAAGACAGACAATCACAGTTCGCCAAGTGAAAACATGACAGACAATCACAGTTAGCCAGGTGAAAACATGACAGAAAATACCAGTTAGCCATGTGAAAACATGACAGACAATCACAGTTCGCCAAGTGAAAACATGACAGAAAATAACAGTTAGACATGTGAAAACATGACAGACAATCACAGTTCGCCAAGTGAAAATATGACAGACAATCACTGTTCGCCAAGTGAAAACATGACAGACAATCACAGTTAGCCAGGTGAAAACATGACAGAAAATAACAGCTAGCCATTTGAAAACATGACAGACAATCACAGTTCGCCAAGTGAAAACATGACAGAAAATAACAGTTAACCATTTGAAAACATAATAGAAAATAACACTTAACCATGTGAAAACATGACAGAAAATAACAGTTAACCATGTGAAAACATAACAGAAAATAACAGTTAACCATGTGATAACATAACAGAAAATAACAGTTACCCATGTGATGGCATGACACAAAATAACAGTTAGCCATGAAATATGACAGAAAGAAACAGTAACTCGGGATGACAGGACAGACATGACAGGTACCAAGGTGCTATCATGACAGACAATTACAGCTACACAGGAGATTGCAGTAACAGGAAATATAACGACAGATATTGACTAAATAAGGAAAATAACCTGAACTTCCACCAAATTGGAAATTGACACCACATGTATCAAGTAAGATCATAATCATCAGTAAAGTTAGAAATAAGCATGTTCACGACAAAGTTAATCTATCGTACTATATTTCATTTGTAAAATCTAGCCGAATATGTTATTCGAAACAAACAATATGTATAGCAACTCAAGCCGTAAGGCCAATAGAAGTTGTAAATTATAATGTAAATTAAGTATTATTACAACACAGGACTTACCTGCAGCGGTACAGAAGGTCGGATAAACCTTTTCCCATTGATCGATGTAGGAAACGGGTCCGGGGAGCCACCTGTTTTCAATAGCGTGATGCTTAAAATGATGTTATGCTGCGTTGGTTTCTCAAGTATAATTACATTTGAATTATAAATCATTAAATGCTAAGCATATTAACTAATAAAACATTTGGAAAAATACTTGGAGTTCGGGTTGACAAGAACAAAAGATAGAAATCTAAGTAAATATTTACAGGTTTTTAAATCAAAGCTACGACTATAGCTCCGAAACCCCTTACTATACACGTGTAAACGTATACTTACGATAAATAAGTATTAATATACTAAGATAGGCATTTAATCCTGAAGTTATAAGTCAGAGTGAGACTAACGAGTGTAGTGGAAGTTGAGGAATATTTCCTGGAATGCGTCTGCGTCAGGTGTTAACTTTATATCCCCAATCGACACACAATGAGTGTAGAGGTCATCTGGGTACTGCCTGTTTATAATCAAATGGACAAACTATCAGATAATGGCAACTCTAGCATCCTATATTATTGTTGTTTCAAATAGAGATATTTTTCCAAAAACGGTGATTAAACATTTTTTAAGAAATAAATGCATGGCTATTACGGATTATTTTAAACTTAATATTCGAGTTAGTTTATTTTCAGGCATGGTGTTAAAGATTCGTCAAAATTGATAATATGACTCATAGATTAAAAGTGACACTTTGATGAAAAATCAGTTTCAGAAGGAAAAGGTTGGATAGTGAAAAGGAAATATTTGTTACACTATTATTTATTTGGTAACGTAAAATGTAGTACATATTTTAGTTACTCGAAGAGGCAGTTCACCACGATACATGGTCTAGTAACGTCACACCTTGTTCTCTCTGTGTCAGGTACAAGTGAATTAAACCCCTCGTAGCGTAGAATACCTAAAGTCTGGTAGCACACAAACGGGTTATCAATACTAGGTTTTGTTTGTTTTCATTACACTTTAAATACAATTGACAATTGAAGTTCATAATTCAGATGCTTGTAGCACTATATTTTTATTATTAGCTTGTAATGACATAGATTTAGGTTTTTTAATTCCTATAATTCGTACAATATATTGCTTTTTTTTTTTATAATTGTTAAACTTTATTTTGTACTTTATGAAATAGCATTTACCATAATGTCTTGATCAATGCGTCCTGTTGACCAATAGAAGTAGCACATGGGATTTTGTCTATATTCAGAAATTTCAACAGTCGTATTTATAACATAGTTTGCTATATGGTACACTGTATTTGAGTTTGAAATGTTTTAGATATAACGATCCAGTTCATGGACTGACAAAAAACGTGACAGGTCAAACTAATCATAGTTTTATATGTAATCAATGTAAATAATTGATAAGACGGTCATATAAGTACATCCTCAATAGTAAGCTTTCACAATTAACGCGGCTTTTTAATACCTTGATATATTTTCATATACATGTCGTGCTATTTCTCATTTTAGACTTGACATCTACGATATATACAGTACAAAATAAAATAAAAATATATATATTTAAGGTGATTATTAACATGTAAAAAAGAAATTAAGTTATTTTGCTAACTATAAAGTACAAATAATAATTCTGTAATGAGTTTCTGGTTTCTCCAATTTAATTGGAGTACAATTTAAAATATCTCATTTGTTTTCTTTTTGAAATGATACTCCTTAAATGAATAAATTATCGTGTGTCCCTTACACATAGGTTAAAGATATGATAATGATGCCGAATAAAACGATAACATAATACAGTGTAGTTCTGTTGACCAGGTCTGATGCTTCTAAATCAAAGTTTTGAATGTGAAATGTTATTTAAAAACATGTTTTGTATTGATACATTATAAACTTGTTATACATAGAGGATCTGTCCTACGTTTCCCTTTATGCCAGATTTATGATACAAGTTTCGGACTTTTCATGTTTGCAAGCCTCTGGAGAGCAAATATGAACATATAAAACTAGTATCATCGATATAATATGAAGGACAACGAATGACAGATTATTTTGATCATATAATACAAAGTAAACTGTATAATTGTGATCTGAAACGAATATTTTGCACTTTGCCGCCTCTGAAACGACGACATTTGCGCCCGCTTCACAATAACGTGATGTCACATTGATTTGTCCTATTATTGTGATGTCATTTTCGGAGTGATATTTCACACGTTACATAAACATAATTTATGTGATAGCTTAATGACTCTGCATTACACGGTATTCATATGTAAATGATGTTATTACACAGTATTTTTATGATGTCATCAACTTAAAAGACAAGAAATTAAAATATTATGAACTCTAAAGTAGGGGAAGATTACAGCACATACTGAACATAGAGTACAAAATATACTTATCCCAAGTTCTATTTATCTAGGTTTTGTGCACTAGTCTAAGTTTTTGTATACCAGTCTACCCTCTACATAAAGTGATGGCGGTCTTAAGGTTTAAGTTATAAATCTAGCTAAGTGAACGGATGTTTTGCTATTTACGTCTTATTCATCGAAGGAATCTTTTAAGAACTGTACTAAATGGAAGTAGATACATTAAAATGATGTATACAGTGACAGTAACATTCAATAACGTCCGAGTGACCCCTTAACCCCTGTAATTGTAGTGACAACAGGTATTGATCGATTTCCCCATATGACAGTTTACTAGTCAAGCGTTGATAACATGAATTGTGACAAAAATGTGTTGACACTAGAAATAATTTTTATGTGAAGACTTTAAGATTGCTATGCAAGCCCAATCCATCTTTTCATTATCAACAGGACAAAAACGAAACAACAATAGGCAACACTTGCAACACTTGAATACGCTAGAGGATGCAATAATCATTGCTTATAAATTGTATGAACTCAAAACAATAAAGAATAAAATAACAACTTTCTTCGGCTGACTTTCTAAACACTTATTTTAGAGAGAGAAAAAAATAACGTTGATTACTCACGCGCTCAATGGACTGTATTGCTCATTATCAATCATACTTAATTAAGAATGATATATGTATCATTTATCAGAAAGTCGTCCTCAGAATAAAATTTCAAAAAAAGAGATACATATTTGCGCTCTGTTTTGTTAAATATTGTTTAGCAACTCCTTTTACGAAGTCGACGGCCAGGTTACCTGATCGACGGACACCTGTAATGGGTAAACCATTGTAGCGCTGATCACCCGGAATCTGTACTTATCATTAGCTGTCACATTGAAAGTCTCAACTGTCCATTGTTCGCTGTCTGCAGTCATATTTGTCAAAAATGTGTTTCCTGAATAAACACAGAAAGTTTATTGTTTTGTATTAAAAAGACTAAAGTTTTTATATATTTAATATTAATAGTATATTACCATGTGTTAGGGGTTTGTTGGTGTCCCTCACTTTTGGAACAGTAAGTGATCTCTGTACAGTTTTAAATCGGGGTCCATGAACGAGTTTGTGTTTGTGCCATTTGACCTCTGGGGCACTTACCTGTACATTATCTGTCTATAGTGTTTTAGTTGGTGTCAGTGATTTGGTTTGTGTTAGTGTCATCTGGCTTCTGGGTAACTTACCTGTACATTATCTGTCTATAGTTTTTTAGTTGGTGTCAATGGTCTGGTTTGTGCTTGTGCCATCTGACCTCTGGGGCACTTACCTGTAAATTATCTGTCTATATTTTTTTTAGTTGGTGTCAATGATCTGGTTTGGGTTTGTGCCATCTGACCTCTGGGGCACTTACCTGTAAATTATCCGTCTTTAGTTTTTTTTAGTTGGTGTTAATGATTTAGTTTGTGTTTGTGCCATCTGACTATTGGGGCACTTACCTGTACATTATCTGTCTGTAGTTTTTTAGTTGGTGTCAATGATCTGGTTTGTGTTTGTGTCATCTGACCTCTGGGGCACTTACCTGTAAAATATCTGTCTATAGTGTTTTAGTTGGTGTCAATGATCTAGTTTGTGTTAGTGCCATCTGACTATTGGGGCACTTACCTGTAAATTATCTGTCTATTTTTTTTTTAGTTGGTGTCAATGATCTTGTTTGTGTTTGTGTCATCTCACTTCTTGAACACTTACCTGTAAAGGATCTATCTACAGTTTTTAGTTGGTTTCAATGATCTAGTTTGTTTTGATTGTCCTCGCTGCTTTCACGACTAATGATTTACCTCTGGTTTTTGTGGGTGGTTTTTTTTGTTGTTTTATTTTACTTTTTTTTCTTCAAAATATCTGATTATACTGATCTTATGTAAAAAAAGGAATTGCGCTACATGCATAGCCTTTATAAGCCCTCTCGTTACAAAACATAACAGTATATACAGATGTTTCTTTTAAGTATTAAAATGAGGGATTATTTGTACTTTGAATTTAATTTGACAATACATTTTTCAAATACCGCAATTGCTGTAAGAGAGATTATTTTACAAAGCTATTTAAGAATCTAATAAAAAGTGTCTCTTATGTAATTCTGAACCGTTTCAACAATATTGATATCCATATTTACGTCTCGTGATTGAAAACCATAAATAAAAGTTTTGGTATTGAGTGGAATAGCATCACTCATCGCTGACAGAGAGTTAAGTAATACTTGTCTTTGGTTAGTATAAAAAGGAAAGTGCAGGAAAAAATGATCACGATCTTCGATTTTTTTGTGCGTGTCCATGATCATGTTTGTTTTTATTGCCTTCGGTGTTCGCTGTTATATATTGGTGTGCTGACACCACGGAGTTTCTTTTCTTATAATAATTGGTAACGTCAGCATTACACGTAACATAATTATAAACGAATATGCGCGATGACATTTTTTTGTGTGTTTAAAATGGTCGCTTGCAAAACGATCAAATTGGCAATATGTGACCTTTTGGCTGATAATACCTACCCTTCCCATTCATGAGTATAGATTCAAAGGGATGAAATCCAACATTCTCCTGATTAGCTCCAGCATATGGCACAAAACACTGGTCTGCATCGAATCCACGGAAAAACCTACATATTCAAACGTTTAAACGTACAAATGCCGTAGAAAATTTGAAAGATTCAATGTATAATGTAAGGAGGTCTGAAACAAATTTTGATGAGAGAAGTAAAAAAATCCAACAATAGCCACTCTTAAATGAGCAGAAGCTCAATAAGTGAGCAGTGTTAGTGATGGGAATAATTGGGGCAATCCCTGCTGAGGAAGCATGAAATTGGAGGTAAGTATACAAATCGTTACTGTAACACAAAGTGCGAATTTAGTACATATGGTTTATGTAACTGTGGGACGAGCGACGCAGCCTTACTCGGCAATGACAACACAATAGTACACTCTATACAGTATATACATATTTATTTACACTATTTACAAAGATAATGTACAACACAGATTAATATAATACATACGCACTCACACTCACAACACACAAATAAATACAGTCTAAAGGAAATGTTCTGTCAAATCCAGATCCTCTTCTGTAAACTATCCTAAACTCCTCTGGAACTAGAACAAAGTCTACCTCACACCAGCCATGAGTTAGGGTTGGCTATCCCACTGGACAGCGTCAAAACAAGCAAGTGTTTACACACGTCCACCATCTAGAAGGGTGGCACAATCTACTGGCACTGTAGACAAATTGGGTGGTCTTACACAATAGACCATCGACTTCAGTGGAAATTCTCCTCTATGCAAAGAAACCACTGGCTATCTTAGGATATACCCTTCAGATAATTCCAGGGTAGAAAGCTGACAAAAGATGGAAAATATGACAGAAGATGACGAACATCTATATAAATTCCCGTAATTTGAATGTCACTTCACATATTTTAACTACACATTTATTTCACCCAAGCGCTTCCATACTTTTATAATTCTCACAAACCGACATTTCGAATACCTAAAAGGATATTGATACTGAGCATAATTACGTAACTAAGATCACAAAGAATACACTAAATGCTGATAACAAAATAAGCGAAATGTTAGCAAACTAGCAATTAAGAATTCGTGCGGGTCCACAGCATGCAATCAACTAACATGTCATCTATGGGCCTCCGTACCTACAGATAATGCATACGCACAAATAATGTAATGTACAATAACAGTTAGGTTTCTGATCATTTACACACAAGTAATACACAATTATCTTCTTCATACAACCAATATATACCGATTATTACAATTATAACACGTGTAAAATGGTTTATAGACGAAATGCACACGTAAACAACTCAGTTACGCATGAGTGGACCGCACCACCTAAGAATGCTTGACCGGTCTCCATCAGGTAGCACAATCTGTGCATATTCATTCCTTCTCTCTTACCCATTATTTCTTCATTCTCATGCATTAAGTACAAATTGCTAACATCTTTATACCGTCTACAACATCGCCCAGGGAAGGAGGGCAATGGGTTCTGTCCATACCAAAGTCCTTAGAAGTGGAACAGTTGTATGGGTTCTGTCCCAGACTGGCACATTCGTAACTGTTGTTTCCTGCTTTACGTTCAGCATTAAGGGTAATGACAACAGCTAGTCAACCCGCTGTCAGTATAATGTGACTAGGTGAAATGCTATGCTTGGAGCCTTTGGCATGGTATTTCAGTGAGGTAGCACTATAAAGTGAACATCAGATCCTCACAATCACATTTACATTTTTTTAATCTGATTGTTATGCATGCTGATGCTTATTTATACTTTGCTTAACGATACTACAGTGTCCCCATACTTAATATATGTTTGCAAAATAGAAATAACTAAAGTACCTCATTTTCTTCTTCCTCCTTTCTCTCGAGGACTACCAATGCACCTGTTAGTCCCTCCGTCCTCTGCGCTCCATGATGAGAGTGATGCCAATGAGTTCCACTGGGCTCAGCCAAAAAACTACATGTATAACGTCACACATAACTGCTATTTATAAGTCATAACAGTTTTTAATCAGATTCTGTTTGATACCAAAACTAGGATAAACACAATATTCAGATAGTATCCTGAAAGAGATCGATTGGATTGAAAAAAATATTAACTCATCACTTGTCCTTGAAGTATTGCAAAATATAATACAAAAATGAGGTAGATTGTTTACCTATATGTAAAGGTTTGCTCGGGGTTGATAGGACAGTGTGACAGAGACCCAACACCGTCCATCCAGGGCGTGCCCCACTGTATGAGGCCATGCCAGTGTATCGTAACTCCCTCCGACATCAGCCTGTTTTTCACTACCACCTCCACCTAAACGAATCCGACACTACTGTTCATGAACAATTGCGGCATTGAAAAAATGAGAACACTTCATTAACTTCTGATGATGAAAATGAAAAAAAACCCCACAAATTTAAAAAAAAAACGGTGTTATCATTGACTTAATTCTTATGCATATCAATCTGAAACGAAAAGATTATGTATTTCTTTTTTTCCCCATTAGAATTGATATAGCGTAATCTGTTGAAGTCGATATATCAATCTTCCGCCTGTTTAATTGTACAGAATCAAGTTGCAATGTCAATATTTGTATAAAAAGATAAATAAAAAAATAAAATGGAAAAAAAAAATGCGTTCATGAATTTACATCAAATTGTGATGACATACTGCTGTCAAGTGCTTGTATTCATGAAATCTTCTCAATCCAAAGTTAGGTTCTATGCTCAAGACGTATTTCTTGTTCCTATATTGTTTTGAAGCATATACTGTTTTCAATGAGTAGATCTGACTATTCGACCCCGTCGTTTCATTTAAGCCAGTTAAAAGCACGTTGGTTTGACCACTGAACCAATGCGTGAGAACTGTTTCATGAATGCGGGCCTTGATTGTGTCTGACCACGGAACAATATAAAGTCTAACCTGCTGTCCTTGATAAACCACGATGGACGGTCCAGGGTACTGACCATTGATGGTGTAGATCAATTTGTACTGGCCATCGGTCAATAACACAGTTTCCAAATCTGACAAAAATGAACCAAGATATGGTTTAAGAATGATTATGCATTTTTCATTGTGAAGAAAATTTTCTTTTCTTCTTTGTCCAGAATGCAAATATCATTCACGGGAAAGAACGACGGTGATTCCTACACTTCCTTACATTGCGTGTGTTCACTTAAATACGGATAAAAACCAAAGTCATATGGACCATATGAAAACGCAGTAAAGTATGTAGTAAGTTTGTCTGAAAACATTGGTGTACAACCTACTTCAAAAAAAAAACGACCAACCGCATCTATCTGTCAACACTCATTAATAATTTCATAAATATTTCACCGTTTGATGATTTCAAGAAATCAAGACAATGTGTTGTTTTGTATCAATTTACTAAGTTGTAATACCAAAGACATTTGAATAAAAAGTGGAACTTTGGTAAATATGGAAAATATTTTGATTTGTTCCCGTGATGCTTATTTTTTGATTCGGATAAATATTCTATGAAAACTTCAAGTAAATTTATCCATTTTAGATGATATATAACTTGCATTCATTTGATAAAATATCAAAACAAAAACATAATATAACCTAACGTTCCTGGCCTCAAAGTAACGCTTCAGTAATAACCTTTGGCAAAAAATGCAACGTATATATTTCTTAAGACGTGTATCAAATGTAAGCAGTGTATGTAACTAAAGGAAATGCAAATTTTGGGTTTATAGGGTGTAATGCCCTATCAACAGCTGATTTATTGTTGTAATATATATTTCGAAAAGAGTGTTATACAACGTTTTATAGAGCGTATTTCTTTCAAACGTAAGTAAAAACAAACGTAGTAAGTAGAGACTTAATAACGCACATAACAAAGATTTACACAAGCAGTCTAAACAACATGGATTACATGGATATTTTCGTTGTCTTCAAAATTAAAGGTGAACTATACGATTAACATTTAAGACTACAAATGATATCTAACTACATTGACATGACTAAGATTAAGAAGAAAGTTATACTAGTGAATAAGTATCTTAAATAACTGGTTTAACAAAGAGTGATAAAAATATGATTTCATTTCAGAACAAAGATTTGCACAGCTCTTACATAAAACAAGTGTTAAGCAAAATAATTCGGTTGGGGTTGCCAATTCCCTTCCCTAATAATTTACCTGTGATACCTAAGTTTTGGAGTTTAGAAAGAAGGCCACGATGCCATACTTGGTCGAAAGCCTTACTAATATCGCAGAAGACCATTCTAATTTCTTAACCTTTATCTAAAGCGGAAAATATATCGTTAGAAATAGATACAAGTTGAGTTATAGTGGAATCACCGGATCTGAAACCCGACTGACAAGATGAAAGTAGGGACTTGTCAGTTAAATAGTTATAAACATATTTATATACACCTTTCCATCATTGTACCTATAATAGACAAAAGAGAGATAGGATGGTAATTTCCGAGAACAAATGGATCATCTTTTTGTGCACGGGACTTGCATTCGCCCTCTTCCATTGCGACGGGAACTTATAAGTAGTAAGAGAGTGGTTAAATAATGTTTGAAGTGGATAACTAAGAACTTCGGCTGCTTCTTTGATTAGACGAGGGTTTATGAGGTCAGGACCAACAGCTTTTTTGCAGTCAAGAGAATGTGTTACGTCAAGAACATTTTGTCGGGATATGACAATGTCAGAAAGAGTATGATGATGGGATTTGTGTAGATCTGGAGGGTCAACATTAGCGTCGTTAATATTTGAATGTGAGCTGAAGAAAGTGTTAAAGGCATTGGCTTTGTCTAAGTCGTCGCGTATAAAGTTACCGATATCGGAAATAGGAGGAATATCTTTATTTTGCTTGAGTTAGACATAAGACGATTAATAGTCTTCCACCATTCTTTGCTACTGGTATAAGTATGGTTAAGCTTTGTACATAATTTGTTAAAATAATCAAGTTTGGATTTACGAATGGCATTTATACACATGTTACGAGCTTTCCTGAAATTCGACCACTCGTCAGTATTCTAGACTGTTTGGCTTTGCGGTGTATATACTTACGTTAACGAATCAATTTTCTAATTGCACTATTCATCCAAGCAGCATCATTCGCTCTTACAAGTATATCTTTATTAGGTATGCACTCAGTCGCAATTGTAAGTAAATAACGTGTAAATTGCTCTGTACTCTTGTCTATGCCATTGATGTCGAAAGTGCTGTCCCAGTCAACTTTAGAAAGTCTGTCACGATATTCCTCGTAGTTGCCTAGGTCATATAGTCATATATCTACGTTTAAAACTTGATTTTAGGGGTTTTGAAATGTTAAGAGGGCCATACACGGGACAATGATATCTAATAGGCTGATCGAGGAAATTTTCACCGACATGACACATGTTTACTAAAAACATGCGCAAATTATATCTAAAAGGGAGGAAGACGATTCAGTGAAGAAAGTAGGACTGGCAACACTTTGGGTAAGATTTAAAGTACATTATGTATATAGTAAATTACGTAGGTGTAGACAGTGATTAGTGTCACTTAGTAAATTTGCATTGAAATCACCAGTTACAATTATATTAGAGATTCTGGTACTGAAAGCAAGATCTATAGAATGGACAATGTGATCCCAGGAAGAAACTGGTGTATCGGGGGGCCTATAGAAAGTCCCATATAAAATTGACCTTCCAGGAATATTTAGCTGCAACCATACACATTCGACTGAGGGTAACTCTAGGTCGGGTCGACGTTTAGAGGAAAAGTCATTGCTTACATATACTGTCACTGCTCCTCCTTGCCTATTGGGTCTGCAGTAACAATAAGGGGATGCCAAACCAGGAAAGTCAAAATCGGAAGTTATCTCGTCAGGACTAAGTCACGTTTCGGTAAAGGACAGGATATGAAAATGTCAGAAAGAGTATGATTATGGGATTTGTGTAGATCAGGCGGGTCAACATTAGTGTCGTTAATATTAGAATGAGAGGTGAAGAAAGTGTTAAAGGCATTTTAACTTCTAGGAAGTTAACTAGTTGTTACTTGTAACTAGGTAGTTAACAATATTACTAGGACGTTTACAATATTAACAATATTACTAGGAAGTTTACAATATTACTAGGAAGTTAACAATATTACTAGGAAGTTAACAATATTACTAGGACGTTAACAATATTACTTGGCAGTTAACAATATTAACAATATTACTAGGAAGTTAGTTTAAACAGTATTTTATTCAATAAATGGCAGTGACAAAATAATACAAAATCAACAAAGAGCATTGGAAAACAAGTACATAAGTACTTATATTAATCCGTCTCCTTATTAATAAACATGGCAGTAGGACGGCACTGTTACATATATTTTGATAGTATAACAGACAAAGAGAAGAAGAAGAAATCAGGGGGAGGGGGAGGGGGGGTGGAGGGTGGAAGGGGTGCATCAGGAAATGAAAGAAAGTGGTTATGAGGGGAATAACGAGAAGAACTGCATTACTTAATTGAATCTGGTTGGAATGTAATTCATGAAAAGGTAACCCTAATGAGCTCTTTATAAGGATGCATTAAATACATTTGATATCTCTAAATTGCTTTACGTTGATTCCAATCAAAAAGTATACTGATATTCTGCAAAATGCAAGAGTGTTGTAGTCTATATTAATTCCAGTATCAACAAAACTCATTAAGTCTAAATATCATACTGGCATGTCACAAGTGTTGTCGAACAACATAGGTTTCAAAGTCAATGTACATTGTTTTAACAAACGCAATAATTACATAAAAATAAAATAAAATAATAAGTCTTGCACTAAAATCGTTTCGACATACAGATAAATTTTTGGACAGAGTCAAACATATTTAAGTTATATTGATCTGGCAAATCAGGATTTCCATAAAGCAGCAGATTTAAATTATTCCCATGAGGAAGATTTCTAAAACATTGTAATCTTAATTGTTCGAAGTTAGGACAAAAGAGGAGAAAGTGTTCAGTAGTTTCAGCAGAACGGTTACAAGAACACATGTGATTTTTAAGGGAACTACAGTTCATCCTCAGTCGAGCGTGGTGAATTTGGCCAAATATACGTTGTAGTAATAGGATGGAACACGACTATTGTGATGATAGTCGACATTCACGGACTTCTTAAGGTTAGTGAGTGATGGGTTATCCTTAACGTCATCCTGAAGAGCATTCCATAAGTCAACAGAGGAAGGTAGAAAAGAATCTTTATAGAGTTTAGTACGATATCTTATTTGACAGAATTTATTTGTGTTTCTAGTATCGTGAGAATGAATGTCAGAATGACGAGCGGGGAGTATGTTTGATAAATAGGAGGGACACTGACCATGAACAATCTTATGAAGTTGTGTTATTTTATGTTTACGTCTTCTTTCAATAAGAGGGTCCCAACTAGTTTCTGAATACAATCTCTCATGACTTGTTAATTTAGTAGCCCCAGTTACAATCCTTGCTGCTTCGAGTTGAATGTTTTCTAACAGTTGGTTTTGGCCTATCGTTATATTGTCCCATATCACGTCACCATATTCTAACAAAGGTCGAATAAAAGTAAAATAAATCGTTTGAAGCGTTTTTCTGTCAATAGTAAATTTCAGTTTTCTTAAGAGGCCTATTTTTTTTGAAGCTTTGTTGATTATATACTGAACATGATCAGTCCACCCTCCATTAAACGAAATAAAGACACCAAGGTGTTTGTGGCATGTTATCACTGTTAGTGGGTTGTTGTTCATAGACAAAGGGGGATGAAGTGGTTTGTCATTGTTTCTGCTTACTGTCATTGACACTGTCTTACTAGGATTGAAATCGACAAGCCATTTTTTTGACCATTTCCCTTCCCTAATACTGGTAGATGACTGTGTAGGTATTGTCGGTGGGGGTTGCCCATTCCCTTCCCTAATACTGGTAGATGACTGTGTAGGTATTTTCGGTGGGGGTTGCCCATTCCATTCCCTAATACTGGTATATGACTGTGTAGGTATTGTCGGTGGGGGTTGCCCATTCCCTTCCCTAATACTGGTAGATGACTGTGTAGGTATTGTCGGTGGGGGTTGCCCAATCACTCGTCTGCACATACCTTCTGCCCAGTATATAACGTTCTCTCTTTTAACCTACATTTGTTGCCAAGTTATCATTTTCATTTCCAAAAGTCTTTATAAAAAAGTGCTATGACATAAATGCCACCTCCAAGAACACCTGATTGCGACAATTGCATCATACCTATGCGTTCTGTCGCAGCTATTGGTAGAAGAAGAAGAAGGAGAAGAAGAAGAAAAAAAAATGAAGAAGAAGAAACATAAGATTGTCATTCCTTGTTAAAAATCAACATGCAATGGGTTTTTTCTGTCTGTTGGTGCAACAAAGCAAGCAAAATTAAAAGAAATATTCAGACGTTTTAATGTTAACCCGTAATGATACATGATGCCTCAAGTTGGTTTGAGTCAAAGGCATTGCACTTTCTCGCTGTTGATTTTACCAATAAGATATTTTGATTGCTGAAATTAGACGTACAAATGCTGAATATATTATCTGAATTGATTTTGTCAGTTCTGTGTTTCAAATCATTGAGTTGATAACTACTTTTAACCTTTATAGATATATCAATTAAAAGGGATTTCTGTATAAGATAAGTTACATTATAAATACTATTAAAATTAAATGAAACACAACATTATTTCGTCTCGAATCAAAGAAAGCTACGACTGTCCCGTACGTAATAACGACAGTATGGTCTAACATGAGTACTTGATTCGGACACACATATGTTTGCGTTGCCTTTTATGAAATTAGATAAACAAATATGACAATTGTATTAGTGACAGTACGGACACGGTAATTTTTGTTTTTTAAACTCATCATCTTGATGCTGAACAAATATTTAAAAAATATCCACATCATAATATAAACAGATGTATGTGCCTGTTGTGGGTTTAACGTCCTCACAACCGCCTGGGATATAAGGATGAGTCATGTGAACAGTAAGTAAATACAGCTCTATTGAACGTTTGAGCTAATGTAAAAACACATCTAACCGGATGGCGGAGAGCCGATGGCTGTTTTGATAAAGAATATGTTTATATTGTGTACACAAAACAAAATACCTCAGGGGGAGATCTTCAATTGCGTTTGTAACGATATAATCACATTTCTATAACTGCTAAAGATATCCAGAGTCGCTCTTACGTTTGAAGCGTTTTATTAAATATTCACATCTCATCTACATATATTAGACATCATTTAAACATATAATATTTTTCGCAAAACATTAATATGCAAATATCTGTACACCGGAAATCACACAAATAATTCTAAATAAGTACTGTTGTTGATACATTAACAAAGTAGTAAAACGTATACTGTTCAAGTATCTTATACCGTGTACATGCAAGAGTGTACACTAGAAGATAATATTTTAGCTTCTAACAACTATATCAGAAAGCTTTCAAGAGGAATCTATATATATTTCTGAGGTCAGCGTACTCTTTACATTACAAACCTACCCTGTTTGAAATATGCAAATATTCATTTCCATATCATTTGCATTATATCTACACTACATTAACATTTCATATTCTAATTAACAGAATAGCACACACTCGCCAAATGTTTTGTTTGGGGTTTTTTTCGCATTCATCTATATCGACGTGAGATAATATGCTGCCTTTAATGACAGGAACTTTATTGACCACGTCAAACTATCATAACAAACCTGAAGTCAGGTCAAAACATAGTCTTCTACATCAACCCTTACTTATATCTGTTATATTATCATGGCTTGCCTGAAAGCTATATCAAAACACGGTTGTTTTAATGTTTTAACCGTTTCTTGATTGTAGCACCCTTGCTTCCTCAACCTAAGCTGTTTACATGTCGCAGTTGATAATAAGATTTCTGCGACAATTAACGGATAAACTTACACACACAAGGAGCCAATAGATGTGACAGTTAACGGATAAATTTACACACACAGGGTGTCAATACCTGTGACAGTTAACAGATAAACTTAAACACACAAGGTGCCAATAGATGCAGGTTCATCAAGTTATGTTTTTATTTTGTTCATAAATGTAAGTACGTCCTTTTTCTTTTGTGTTCTTTTCCCCAGACCTCGCTTTGACAGATTACCTTGTGTGTAGTATAGTACTGATTTTGACATATTGAATAGAAAATATTTGTTGATAAGCATTAAATATTGCTTAACGATACACTTGACAATATTCTTAAGATGTATAGATGGCCGTGTTTTTGTATTTTGCATGGTGTGAATTAGTAAATGTTATGAAAATGTAATGTGAATGTAATTAAATATAATGCTGGACTGTACAGCTTTTTATAAACTATCAAGTGCTTTCTGGTTTGTTAATTAAAGCGCTAAACTAAGACGTGAATAAGGATTCCCATTAAAAGTTTTCGTGTGTACTAGAAGTGTTTAGAAGTTACATTCTTGTATTCACATACACTTATGAAATACTGAGTATTTTAAATACATGCAGTCAGTTAGTGTGAGATGTTTACTACACGATATGATCTAAAGCGTGTGCTGTCAAAAAGATGCGTAGGTGTTAATGTTTGTTTACAACAAAATCTCAAATTAAAGTCTGTACAACAACATATGTACATATGATATGAATAATCCACAGATATAAGGTGATGACTATAAAGTTTACTCTGTGTTTTTCTGTGTACAAATGTGGGGATGTTGCTTACCTTTGAATGTACATGTATTTGGTTTAAAGGATTTTATAACTCCAGATAATACATTTAAATCATAACAATAATGATCTTATAATGAATTACGAATGTTTAAGGAAAGACCTTAGACATGAGAGCAGTCAATTATGATAATAAAAAATCGAGATTCTTTTTTACTGCTTTAAAACAACCTAGTTCGTAGGTCGTCTCAAAGCGGTTCACAAATTATTATCCGTGGTTAAAGGGTCTTTGCAACAAGCCAATATCTTTCTCAACTCCCTGGGGAGCATACAGCCGGAGCTGCCATTCCGGCGCTCAAAGCTAGCAATCAACAATTCCAGCCCTGCCCAACTACGTACTCATTTACAGCTGAGTAGACTGGAACACAGTGCCGTGTCGTGACTCGAACCCACAACCCTTAGATCACGAGCCCGGAGTTCTACCACTAACTACCGTGCCTCCATCATTGTACATTACATTGTAATGAGGACGGATGTACTTCTATCAACTGTTTGATGTCGTACGTAAATTGATAGAAATTGAAAAAAATGATTAATTACATGATATATAATTCAGTATACCAATCTAAGTATCTGGTAAGACATCTGATTATAATTTAAATGAGATGAATTTTGCATTGACACGAATACTACGGCGTTAAGGTGGTCAGGTTGCACTTCTAAAAGCGCTCTCACATTCCACAAGGACTACGGGGTCAACAAGTGAAAAGAAACGGGGTCATCTGCCCAACCACATCGGTTTCCTTCTCTCGAAACAAGTAATCCGGTTTCCTTCCACACCAATACTCTATTGTACGTTACTTAAGTATTCTTTTAAGTTGTGTTTAATTAATTACATGCACGAAATGATGAAACTTCTTTCATAATTGTTGTAGAATAAATATTTTTATAGTAATATTAATATTTGTATAACACAGCGTATTTCCTCGCGACTACAACCTCACATGTATACCGCTACACAAACTGAGTCTGGACACACGGAAGGAGAAACGACCGGTGCCCAAATATACAGACGATGGCAAGTTCGTCGAACTAATGCTCAGCAATCGTTACAAATGTAGGTTTTCTCTGGCAGTTAGTAAATATAATGATTAAAATGGATTTTCTAAACGTATTGAGATAGACCAGATAACAATACTAAAAGATTGTTGAAACATATATACGCACAGCTACCTTGTAGATATGTACAATATGTGTTCTCCGTGTTTCATCCTACTTTTAGACCACCTTGCGGTAACATCCAGGCTACAATAGTGATTACTTTAAGTTGAAGTGACTTGTGTTAAAATTGTTGTAAAAAATACAGTTTATATTTACAATAAAAAACAATAAATAACTGTATGTAACAAAGGAGTCAAGGAGTACGAAACAGTTGCTTTTATTTTAATGTTTATCACGAACGACCACTGCTGTCATTAACGGGAAGAGCTTCGTCAAGCCGACCAGTCCTCTACAGGTAAATCATTAAGGCCATGCTGCTAACATATATCTTGCAATTTCATTTTATGCTCTATTTTTAATCACTCGTGGTTATAATATTTGCTTTTTTTGCACTTTTTATTCTTTTGTGGTGTTGTATTCTATACTGATTATTGCAGACTTACCCTGACCTTGACAGTGTGATTGAGTCGTGTAACAAGACGGACCTTAGGTGTGAGGAAGAGATCTGCTTCTGTACTCAAGTAATTAAGGTGGACATTGGAACCAATGTCCAGTTTGTTTCAGTAGCTCCAGGTATGTTTAACCCGAAATTCCGCTGGCCCTGACAACAGACTTAGACATTTTGATCGATATAGTTATTTAGTTTATTAGTCAATCCCATGACCTACAAAATGGCGTCGCTCAGGTGAGAAATTTTGAACGAATGAAAACCGAAGATTCTCCAGACGGAATATAGCAACTGTTGGTGATAATAAGAGCATATCGATATGTGTGAGGTATGCGTTCTGTCATAGCAGACATGTATCTATCAAAATTGCCAATTCTTGCTAAATTTCATTGTTGAAACACTTATTCTTACTACAGAATTCGGTGAATCAATATATCTAAAATATGCTTACTCTTTTCAGAGATCAATAACCAAATCATCACAAATATTATAATAGATAATTCTCAAAAGTATATCATTACTGTGTTTTTGTGCAGGTCCCGATGTGAGCGTGCCTATAATTGGACTGCAGCATCCAATCCACACTTACGGTCATGACTTTCACGTGTTGAAGGTGGCTTATTCCCATTTCAACTTGTCATCTGGTGAGTCCTTGGATATTAACGAGGACATCGAATGTGAGTCAGAAGTGTGGTGTGATTGTCCAAAGTGGAAAAACGACTCTTTGGGCGAAGACAACATTCCAGGCCTTAACCTTGTGGATCCTCCCATAAAGGACACAGTACTTCTGCCGAGACATGGCTACACTGTCATCAGGATGAAAGCGGTTAACCCGGGTACAATCAACTCTCAGAACTAACCAACACCATCCCCTCCCCCAAAGCTAGCCCGGGCAAGATTTCCTCTCAGAACTTACCAGCACAATCCTCCTGGATAAACCCGGGTATGATCACCTCTTAGACCTAACCAAGACCACCCCCTTTACTCCCCCAAGCTAACTGCTGTACGATCAACACTCAGAACTAACCACCACCATCCACACCCCTCCCCGAGATAGCCCAGATACGATCAGCTTTCAGATTTAATCAACACTATTCCCTCGGATAACCGTGGTATGATCAGCTCTCAGAATTACAGTCTTCATCAACCTCTTCCCCCAACTCCATAGCTACCAGCCCCAGTCCCCATCTCCCCAACCCCAAGCCACCAGGCCCCAAGCCCCCAGGCCCCAGCCCCAGTCCTACCCCTAGCCCTACCCCCACCACCCTACCGGATTACCAAGGTACGATAGGCTCTCAGCTTTCAGAATTACCAACCATTGCCCAAACCCCTTCCGGCTTCTCAACCCTTTCCACTTTTGTTCAAGATCAGACACCGTTATGATGATGTAGAATAGAAAATACACATAATACGTAGGTAATATATAGTGTAACATCATCTTACTTAACCGGAAACAAAAATATTGAAATATGACAAAGGACTGCATTGCTGTTTCAGGATTTTGGTTCTTTCACTGTCACATTGAGATTCACCAGATCACGGGACTGGCGCTCATACTGCAGGTCGGGGATGTGGACCAGATGCCACCCACGCCCAAAAACTTCCCTACCTGTGGGAACTTCAACTTTCCACAGGAAGAATTCGAGGATATGACGAAAAGTAGGTATTTTTAGAACTTTGATGGGTATTACGTAGATGTTTGAAGAAAACAAATCTGTATTATTCTATTATTCGTTACGTGTTTGACCACTTCCGGTGTAACTCATTAAAGTTTGTTTTTTCGATGGTTATTGTTATATTTGTAACAGTTAATTGATATTTGATTCATTGTATAAGCATGGACAAATACTTATTTTCGTATACATGTGTAGCATCTTTAATAATTACCAAAATGATTGCTTAAAGATGATATATATATTTAATGTTTAATAGAGTCAAAGACCTCCTCGAAAGCTAAAGGAGTGACCAGCGCTTTTCTCAACCGTGACTTACTGGGACTTGCCGAGGCTCAACCAAACGGTTCCGGATGTGTGATGATAGTCAAAGATGACACAAAAACTGCCTACGTCATTGTTATATGCGCACTATTGACTACTGTAGTCGCATTTGGACTGTGCTTGTCGTGGCAAATCACTGAAAAGAAAAGTTTAATGCAAAAGTACGGTGACGATTTTGGTGTTAAGTTCCACCGGCTTGGTAGTGACACAGATAATCTCGTCGCTTCTGCAGGAGACAAAAGCATCGGACAATCGGCGACGTATATGATATTTCGCAAGATTTAAATTAACATTCAACTCTTGAGAATCTTAAGCTGAAAACCATCTTGTTCACTATAGTCGAATTACATTCTGGAGTTTATGATTAAATGTCACTGATTGATCAAGATATATACAATTGCATTGGTAATACATTGCATGTAAGATTAATCTTCTTCATTAATATTTTCATGTTACCTGTATCAGTTACCTATTACCGTTGCGTTTTAATAGTTTTTGTAATAAAATTCATTGCCATAAGTTAATATTGTTATAGCTTTACTTTGCGTTGCAGATATCGATACGTTTATCAATATAAGCTGTAACGCTTTTGACATTCAGTAAAGTCTGCAATACCAAACCAGTACTGCACAAATTTACATCCATATAGATACATGTACCAAAGAATAAGTATACGATTTGTAGTTGAAAGTCAGTTAATCCTTGCAGTGATGGAGTATGGTCTACATTCATCCTTGTATACCAGTTGGTTATTGTTGTAAAGAACAACTTTAAACAAAAGAGGGTTCATAAAATGTTGTCATACGAAAATAAAACCCACTTTAATGACATTTTAAATGAAATAGATGCAACCATGCATGAACACACGCACATTATCAACCCCGCCTCCCACCACACACATATTCCGTTTCGCACACGCAGACGTACACACGCATGCAGTCATATATCCTTCCACGTGCACACATCGCACACACAAAAATGGCTAAATTGTTTTACATCCAATGAAATTATCACAAATGTGTGTTTTAGCATTAAAACCCCGTTTAACGGCTGATATCAAAGCCCATTCAACATATTGGCAGGAGAGTGAAATATAATATATTTACATTTGCATGGCATTGTCACTATATAGCCTCTTTGAGAGCTGTGTCGTTGATGGGACTTTAAGTACCATGCCGCACGAGACATAATTACCATGCCGCACGAGACACAATTCTTAGCGTATTAATTAATTGCAACACTGACCGGAACTACAATATCCAATGTAAATAAACATGACGGCTGCTGAAATATCGCTGGGCATTGTGAGATTTGATAATTATAATGTCATTGTAAATTTATGTGCAAAATAAAAAATAAAATAAAAAATACTTTTATTACAACGAAAACAAGACCAAGGTCTGCAATATCGTACAAAATGCACATTGGTTGAAATCACCAATGCCGGCATATTGAAACAATTTTAACGCTCATGCAATTTATCAGATATATTTTCTGTTACACTGCACTGATCAACAGGGGTTCGTTATAAATATCTGAAATACACATATTATATAGACCTACTGACACATATGTTACAGATCTACTGATATGAGTCACAGCACACATAAACATTCGTTATTTCAGACATTTGTAACGAATCTGTGCTCCGTCGCAAGATCACTCACTTCAAACGCTATCAGTGTCACGCGTCTCGGATCCACCGTTCCTCAGTTTCAGACGACATGTCAAATAACGATACTGTTATAGAATCTCCCGACTGTTGTCGGGTTCCCATACAATCAACAAATACATGAGCAAAGAGAAAAGTTCGAATTAACTTCCAAAAATAACTCCCTTGTGGAGGTCAAGGTCTCATTCACGGTGTTCACTGTATTTATCCATGCGCGAAATTTGTTCCGAGGGGAAATTCGAAACAATTTCAAATTTAACTTTCAGTTAAGATTTCTATTGAAAAACTGGAATCACCCTATAGACATATCATACGCAATTGTATTGATACTAAATTGTGGAAAAAATTTGAAGTGTTTGTAAAAATGTCAAAGTACTACTTTGTTTGCCAATCAGCACGCGACAATATGCTGTTCAAACTATTGAACGAAATTGTGTGGACTGTCGATAAGGCGGGCATTTTTAATTTTGATTATAAATTATAAGTTAAAAAAGAACATAAGAGGCAGAGAAAATGTAAATATAAGCATTGAACTGTTTTTGTATGGTATTTATGATCTAAATAGATCATAAATACCATACAAAAACAGTTCAATGCTTAAGTATACATTATACTATACATTCAGAATGCATTGCCTTATCAAACAGGGAGGCCGTCCTTAAATGGCCATAGCTGTTGATAAGACGTTAACCAATACTAAACCAAACCAAACCAAGCTTAATAAAATGATTCTAATAACTTAAAAAAAAACATAATAGATGTTTCCGCGTTGCTGCTTTGTTTTTGGTCTTTTAATATTACTTTGAATTTACTCAATGCAATTAATAGTAAACTCTTTAAACTATATGGCCGTTATTTCAGCAGGCTGGTTAAGTTTGCTGCATGCTTATCCAGCAAGATAATATTACTACTTGTGTTGTTTTTATAATTATTTTAGAGTATCAAGAAGAAACAAAACCTAAAGAATAAAACAATAGATGTACTCCATATTACTTTGAAACTGGAAAACTGGAATAAGCATAGACATTTCACATTGTGAGGTTTTGTGGCATAATTATTGAAATGAAAAGAAATAGAAACTACAACCTGTCCCGGCTAAATAATAAAGACTGGCTTGACGGAAGAAGGCAGGTAGAACGTTACACGTTAATAACAAAGACTGGTTTAACAAGGGAAGGCAGGTAGAATGTTGCACGTTAATAACAAAGACTGGTTTGACGAGGGGAGGCAGGTAGAATGTTGCACGTGTTAACCGTATTGTGTGGGTTAGATGAGATAAAGTCTCGTGACAGAATGTAGAACGTTACAACGAAGCATGTGACGAAATTAATCACCCGTTGATATTGTGAATGGATAGGTTCAACATGTGGGAAAATATGTAGAACGATTTGAAAAGTTTTGATTAGCTAGTCTCATGATAAAACAGTCAGCGCATAATCAGCATGTAATTCCATCTAATAGAAAATGTGAAAATGTGTATGTTTATATAAATAATATTTTAATTGGTAGAAGTAAATGACAACCTTTTACAAAAACGATAATTGTACGTAGCGTTACTAAAAAGCTGTACATTGAATAGACTGTTTCGCTGTCCAATGACACTTCCACTCTCGGACAATTTCCATAACGACACTTCATTACAACTGTCTGGCATTTATGTCTTTTATGATACTTCATCCCAAAACAAAAAATATTGTTCTTACCTGACTCTCTATACGAAAAATAATAAAACAAGTTTGACTATATTTATAGTTAAAATAGCGTCATTCATATAGAGCCATGAATTAGTCAAAACTATTTTCATGGGAATCTCAAAGAGAACATTTTTAAGAAATATTGGGGATTTACTGAAATTAGTTGAAAACGGGGATTATTGTGATACCAAAAATGTAATTAAGGCAGCGGTAAGAACTATAACGGCATATTGATGAACTTTGAGCCCGCAAGTGCACATGCAATTTGTCATGTGAATGCAAATGTAATCCATACAGATCATTGAAAGAAACAAAACAGTTAAATCATGCCCTTTAAGTCAATATTTCACCACGGCATTGGGAAATATTTCACCAGGTTGGTCCCAACACCTCGGTAAAACAGTTTTGACTATTGACTGAAAGGACATGAATTAACTAGTTACTAAGACACTTCACTAAAACTACCAAACAATTATATTTTATTCAGAACCTTCATAACAACTAACAAACAATTATCTTTTATTCAGATACTTCATTACAACTACTAAACAATTATATTTTATTAAGACACTTCTATTACAACTACCAAACAATTATATTTTATTATGACACTTTAAAACAACTACCAAACAATTATATATTGTTATGACACTTCATAATAACTACCAAACAATTATAATTTATTAAGACACTTCATTACAACAACGAAATAAGTATATATTACTACGGCACTTCACTACAACTACCAAACAATTATATTTTATTAAGACACTTCAGTACAACTTCCAAACAATAATATTTTATTTAGACACTTCATAACAACTACCATACAATAATATTGTATAAGGACACTTCATTACAACTACTAAACCATTAGATATTATTAAGACACTTCATTATAACTACCAAACAATTATATTTTATTTAGACACTTCATAACAACTACCAACCAACAATATTTTATTGAGACACTTCATAACAACTACCAAACAATTATATTTTAATCGGACACTTCATTGCAACTATTACAACTACCAAACAATAATATTTTACAACGACACTTAACTACAACTACAATACAATTATATTTTATTCAGACACTTCATTACAACTACCAACCAACAATATTGTATTAAGACACTTCATCACAACTACTAAACAGTCAGATTTTATTAAGACACTTCTTTACAATACCCTTACAATTATATATTATTATGACAATTCATAATAACTAACAAACAATTATAATTTATTAAGACGCTTCATTACAACAATGAAGTAAGTATATATTACTACGACACTTCACTACAACTACCAAACAATTATATTTTATTAAGACACTTCAATACAACTTCCAAACAATGATATTTTAATTAGACCCTTCACAACAACTACCATACAATCATATTGTATAAGGACACTCCATTACAACTACCAAACAATTATAATTTATGAAGACACTTCATTATAACTACCAAACAATTATATTTTATTCAGACACTTCATTACAACTACCAAACAATTATATTTTAATCGGAAACTGCAATTGTTGACAGATCGTATATTTTTACTACAACACTTCATGAATTTACTCAATGGAATTAATTGTAAACTCTTTTAACTTTATGAACGTTATTGCAGCACGATGATTAGATTTGCTGCATGTTGTATCCAGCAGGAAAATCTTCCTACATGTGTTCTTTTCACAATCATTTGAAGATATCAAGCAGAATACAATAAACATAAATGAATAAAACAAGGTATACTCCATATCGCTGTTAACACAGTTTTATTAATATGTTTATAAAAACCTTAACAGGCAAAACATTCACACTGTGTGATTGTGCGGCATTATTATTGAATTGAAAAGAAATAGAAATAACTACCTATCCCGGCTAAGTAACCGGTTTGACGGGGGAATGCAGGTTGCATGTTACACGTGATAACCCTGTTGTGTTGCTTTGATAAAGTCTCATGACAGAATGCAAAACGTTACGACGAAGCATTTGACGAAACCAATGACCCGTTAATAATGTAAACGGATGGGTTCAACATGAGGCAAAATATGTAGAACGATTAAAAACGTTTGATTGAGCTAGTCTCATTATGAAACAGTCAGCGCATAAGCTATAGATATACTGTCATCAGCATTCAATCCCATTTGATAGAATATATATTTGTATATCTAAATAGAAATTTAACGGAAAGCGAAAATAATACCCTTATACAAAAACGATAATAACGCGTAGGGTTACTAAACATCTATACTTTGAAAAGACTACAACTATGTCTTGTGAAATTTTTACCCTTTGACAATTGTATTTCATTAAGACACTTCATTACAAGTATCTGGCAAATACGTTTTATGATAAAACTTGATCACAGATATTAAACAATTATATTTTACTACGACACATCATCACAAATATTAAACAATTGTATTTTACTACGACTCTTTATTACAACTACCAAACAATTATATTTTAATCGGAAACTGCAATTGTTGACAGATCGTATATTTTTACTACAACACCTCATGAATTTACTCAATGAAATTAATTGTAAACTCTTTTAACTTTATGAACGTTATTGCAGCACGATGGTTAGTTTTGCTGCATGTTGTATCCAGCAGGAAAGTCTTCCTACATGTGTTCTTTACATAATCATTTTAAGATATCAAGAAGAATACAATAAACATAAATGAATAAAACAAGGTATACTCCATATCGCTGTTAACACAGTTTTATTTGTATCTTTTTAAAAACTTTACAAGACAAAACATTCACACTGTGTGATTGTGCGGCATTATTATTGAATTGAAAAGAAATAGAAATAACTACCTATCCCGGCTAAGTAACCGGTTTGACGGGGGAATGCAGGTTGCATGTTACACGTGATAACCCTATTGTGTTGCTTTGATAAAGTCTCATGACAGAATGCAAAACGTTACGACGAAGCATGTGACGAAACCAATGACCCGTTAATAATGTAAACGGATGGGTTCAACATGAGGCAAAATATGTAGAACGATAAAAAACGTTTGATTGAGCTAGTCTCATTATGAAACAGTCAGCGCATAAGCTATAGCTATACTGTCATCAGCATTCAATCCCATTTGATAGAATATATATATGTAAATCTAAATAGAAATTTAACGGAAAGCGAAAAATAATACCCTTATACAAAAACGATAATAACGCGTAGGGTTACTAAACATCTATACTTTGAAAAGACTACAACTATGTCTCGTGAAATTTTTACCCTTTGACAATTGTATTTCATTAAGACACTTCATTACAAGTATCTGGCAAATAAGTTTTGTGATAAAACTTGATCACAAATATTAAACAATTATATTTTACTACGACACATCATCACAGATATTACTACGACACTTCATCACAAATATTAAACAATTGTATTTTACTACGACTCTTTATTACAACTACCAAACAATTATATTTTATTAAGACACTTCATTACAACTGCCAAACAATTATATTTTACTACGACAATTCACTAATTGGCTGACAAATCATGTAACTACGGCATTACAACTATTGACAGAAAAATCATTTTTAATACGACACTTCACTTATTGACTGACAAATCACTTTGCTACAACACTTCACTTATTGAATGGCAAATCACTTTGCTACAACACTACATTGTGCAAGTCAGATAAGTGAGTTTTACTATAGTTTTCCACGGCAATTATCAGATCGGTGTTTTTACTTTGACACTAAATTATGATTTTCATATGAATATAGGTTTAAATAGGACAGTAAGCAGCATCTTCAACTCTACTGTCAGAATACTCTATTTACTATGTTACTGAACTACATCCTGTACAATGTTAAGTTTGTGTATGGCTGCTGTTTTCTACCACTGTTAGTTTAGTTACTGTCGCTGCGACACCACGCTTCAGCTGTCTAGCATTATGATATTCTTCACTTCACTTCACTTCAAGTATGAGGCAATTACTGTTTTCTAAACTACACAACAATTTTTTTACTATTATGATTTACTTCGAAATCAACAGCAACTTAAACCTACTTCATATTTTTTAATAAAAAGGTGTACATCGTTTCTGCTCATCACATGGAGTAGCCGCTACACATAACATATAAGGCGAACAGGCATGTGACTGTCGTAAGCGGCCAAATACCATGACGGTTTCCGGTTTTCATTTAGAATTTTACCTTAAAAATAATGTAAGGTGAACATGTCATACCAAACCTACATCACAAAAACAGTCTGAGAGGTGTGATTCAGGACTGCGTGGAAACCACAAAATGGATGTTCTAGTGTCAGTGCTCACCGTCATCACATTGTTAGGGGGATTTATTGTGTTAGGGTTTACTCCGTTTGACCATGACGTCACCCCTAGCTGTGGTGAGAATGAAAAAGTCTGTGAGTTTCATTGGCTCATTAACCACACCGAGACAATGGTTTTGTATCACGACTATGATGATGATGGTACCCCCATTGTCTATAGAAACGGCTCCTTCTACAAGAGGCTCGACTGTTATTTGTATGAAGAGGCCACAAATCAAGGTGAAAATATTTTTTTCTTTTCTTTTTCATAAAGAAGCACACTTTTTTACGCCCTGTCATTTAACTTACTAGTGTGATAAAAAAAAAACAATCTTTATTTGTACATTTAGTGATAAATTAGAAGCAAATGAAATTATGAATAACTATACCTGTGTATCAATTTATTCGTCATACTTTCTCGAAACGATTAAGATTACATAGAATGATAAAATAAAGATGTGAACAGTTGCCATCACATCAAAACACATAAGCATGAAAAGAAAACCGCACGATTTATAAAATGATCGTTCGTTACAGATTTACTGTACCTTCTGACTGGTGATGGTTCGTATAAGATACTCTACACCGTTAACGGGAAATTCCCTGGGCCCTCCATTGTTGTTTACGAAGGGCAAGAGGTTAGTTCGCTGGTCTTTTGCTAACATTTTGCTAACCATAATTAATGCATTGCCATCTATGTTATAACAGTGTTTATCTTCATTGTCATCTCATAAGTGAGGAAAGAGCTGGTAAAAGTAGCACGGTGATACAACATTCACCACTCGTATAACGATGATTATAAAAATAAGATTAAATCCGTTTTGACCATATTGTGTTTAAATAGGTTTGGACCAAAAACCTTACTTTGTGAATGGCAAAGTGTCATAAAAGTAGTGTTCTGAATACACGTTTGTACAAACCCACAATTACCATTACTACAGGTGGTAGTTCACGTCACTAATGCTTTATTAATGGAGGGAGTCACTATCCACTGGCATGGTATCTATCAGAGGGGAACGCCATGGATGGACGGAGTAGACATGGTTAGCCAGTGTCCTATCAGTCCTGGACAGTCCTTTACATACAGGTTAGAGAAGCTCATGTCCAGTTATTGTCTTTTCGTCTGGACATTAAAGTCCCTGTCTTGTTTCGTTTTAATTAGTTATTAATAATTAGATATTTGTATTTTGCAAACAGACTTCCTGTCTTGGTTGGTGAAATGGAGTTTGGCTATATGGTACTTTGAGATTACTATTGCGTATTTTGTTCGAATGACTAAATATCCAAGAACTCATTGATATTGTAATTCCAATCTAATGACTTGTCAAATATCGCGTTTTTCTCCCTTATGATTGCATGTCTAGCGTCATGATTAAAGAGTTAATCCTAATATATAGCATGCTTACAGTGTGTAAGATCGCTACTGAGTTAACGTGGTTTGTTGAAGTAACTCGTTGCTCTCCCAGAGCATGCAGCGTCTGTTGATGTTTCGGTACAGGTATATACACCGTTGATTTGGTTTCTGTATATGACTCTTCATTCCAATTATCAGGTTCATTGCGGATCCGATCGGGACCCACTGGTATCATTCTCATCTCGGTGTCCAGAGAACGGACGGCCTGGCTGGAGCCCTTATTGTTCTGCCAAGATCTGAAAGGGCTAAGGTCAGATACCTTATCAATTAACTGTCAAATTGCAAAATGTTTTTGAATCATCGAATACAATAGACTTTTTTCGTTAATATACATGTACCATTGTAAAGCGTTACAGAGCACATGACAAAGGAAGAGTTGTCTATCTTTTCACAGTGTCGGCACATGTATGTCGGCAGGGATATTATTCTGCATTTAATTTTGTTTTTTTTAAGACTATTTTTTTCTTATCGTGAAATCGAAACTGTTTTATGACACATGTAAAGTTTACACTATCCGGGTTATATGGTAACTTTACTCACAAAGATTTATGTTTTCTGTAAAAAGTTCTATGACAGTGTAACAAGCTTTAAATAAGTTAGTCAATCACATAATATCGAATAAATGTCAAACATTTAATACTCACATGGAAAAAGTATGGTTGTGGATTTAAAATTGTACATGTATTATCACTTCAATGTTCATTTTTTTAAATTTTCTATGTGAAAATAGTGATACAAATGGTTTAAACATTAATAAAAGTAAGGAATGAGCTGTTATAGCCGAAAGTTGGAAATTATAATGTTATAAAGAGTTCAATGGCCTGATTTACTCTTCTGTTATATTTCGAAATACTTCAAACAAGAGGTGTCATTCTTGCGACCTACTTAGGTGTCCTAAATGACAGACGTAATCATATAAAGCAGTAAATATTTTGGCTTTCTGCTTCGACGTTTGCTGAACTTTTTAAATTGTGCATTCATGTGGGTTTTTTTTTTTATTTCTAGTCTTCATTTTTCGTTTCAAAAATGATAATCTGATATTAATATAACCGCTAGCATAACGAAACAATTGCATAGTAAGTTATAATCATATACAAGACTAAGCTATAGCTTTGTCATGTCATGCGTTTCATATAAAATAAAAAACGCGACAAACTTCCACTTTAATGGTATTACTGAAAGACTAGAAAGTTAAAAAAGACTTAAGCATATTTTGTAGAAGTCGAAGTCGAATGACCTTCGGCCTATAGAGAAGGAGTTTGTAGTGATGGTACAGGATTGGTTTCATAAGTCATCCTTGGAATTAACGGAACACTTCGTGTGGGACCTTCGCAGGTATGTATTTGACCAAACAGAAAACAGGGTCACATGGGCGCTTTTATTAAGATCCATTTCATTAAAATGCTGAGGCGTTTTTTTGTCAATAATCAACTGGTTGGAGAATTTCTTAATTAGCACTTGTTACAAAAGGAAATGTTTGGAAATAAACGACTATTTTAAGATATGATTACTGCTAGGTTTGTCATGTAGAGGCTGCCTTGAAGCCAATTCAACATGAACTGCTCTACTGGTGACAAAATGTTCTTTAGACCAACACAATTTATCACTCCATAACACGATAACAAAGTAAGATTCAATCCTTTAATCTAAATTAGACCGGGACGTGTGTAAGTTTACCATTAGACACTGTACGATTAAACTTCATATTAGGGTATACTCTGACACTGACTGCTAGGATACCTTGGTCGATATCGGTAATAAAGGATTCTAAATATAACATGTTCTTGTGCAAAAACATTACACACAAATTCGTTGGAGAGTCAAATTTAGAATATGACCACTCTCGTCGCAAGGTGTGATCTGTTGAAGCTGCTTGCAGGGAAATTAAGGCCGTTACGTTTGCTAAATCTTACATTTTTCCATAATTTAGTATACATTTCACAACATGATATCCAATGTGTACCTTGCCATGGAATACTATTTCTCTGCTAGGTTTGCCTTTGGTCCTGACGATCCGCGATGTTTCTTTGCCTCAGACATACTCACACTCGACGGTAGCCTGGCTGGGTTCATGCTGTTTCAGTCTGGGGTCATCAATGGCAGAGGTATCTAACAATATAGCCACAAAAAGTACTAAAATGTATTATCAAAAAAGATTTTTTGTCAGATTACAGAACAATAAAAGGGTATATAGACGTATCATAAACATATAAGTATGAAAAGGAGATTTGGAGGCTAGCACATCTGATAATGAAGAAGTTGGAGTATTATAAACAAACTTGATCGTAAAACAAATCGGCTGATATGTACACAGAAATTGAATAATTGGATCGATATAATTTAAAGAGTTTTGACTCAATAATTGAATAACAATATACATCATAAAGTAATTTACTCTAATAAAAGATTGCACCTAAAAACTAAGTCATGTGATAAAACACGAGCAATTATTATATATATCTCCATAGGCTTTTGAATTAATTTCTCGTAATAAAAATGTATATAGGTTGCAAATCATTCATTTCTATGGCGCGAAGATCTGTAAGGCGATTTTAATGGTAAGTTACTGGTAATACTAAGACAAACTGAGACATTCTTTATGTTATAGGCACATGACTTAAAATGAAAGACGAATCGTCTGTTCCTGATTCGTAGAGATGTAGCTGTGTTATAAATTAGTTTAGCTGACTTGTTATATTCTGCAGATGCATTTGACTGGTTGGCCGTCGGGGCTGGTGAAATTTTATAAAGATGTTTTTCGTTCAGTAACAGCAGTATTTAGTTTAATAATCACAATTACTCCAATTATGTTTATTAAGGTCACAATTACCCGGAGTTTGGCGATACCCCGATGTACCCAGAGCTACCTTATGAGACATTTATTGTAAAAAGTAATAAAACGTACCGATTCCGCTTCATCAACTCCGGAAATGCATTTCCTCTTCAAGTCTCTGTGGATCAGGTAAGCCAGTATAGACGTTAATGATTCAATAAATCTAAATTTGAATTGCACTTTGTAACAGGTTCTGTCATTGGTTAAGTGTAGTACATGTGACCCCAAAAAAACAGCTGTTAATATTAGTATGAACGGCTGATTTTTTTCCATGGGACTACTTTTAAATTTTTCCAAATCTCCATTAAAAAATGTAATTGTCGTTCGAGTTGTCTCCCCTGGCCTTAACTTAACTAGCCGTGAAAAAAGGCAAGATCATTGTATCTTTGTTTAATTGTTTATCTTAAGTGTAAGAAGTTATTGAAATATAAAATAAATTAATCCACAGTTGACCATTTTTACAACAGTGACACATTCTGTCGTCTGACGAACCGACGATATCAATCTGACAAAGCACAAACTGACAATATTTCGATGTCACATATATACTGGTCCGCAAAGTGATCGAAATAGTGACAATATAAGGAATTAATCTGTATGTTTCCAATATTTGAAAGTATTAACTGAGGTGAATTTACTTACGCATATACTGTATTATCCCTGAATTTCCACGAACATGACGATCGCGGCATGTAAACACTAGGCTTACATACGCAGCATGTACATTGCGAGGCCGAGCCTACAAACAACCGAAACCCAAGGAACACGGGTTTTGAATTACGACACGTAATGTGCCTCTAATGACAAACAAACTAAAGTTCTTTAATAGTTTTTTTCCAAGAATTATCCATGAAACAAAAAGGTGACGAGTCTTGCTAATGCACTTCCCGTCATAATCAACAATCCAGGTGTCAACTCCGGCCTTTCCGTCCTCCAGAATCATAATCCCTCGGCTTTACCGTACACAACGGTACAATCTATGTAGAATCGCCTAAGTAAAATCGTAGCTCATTCGAAAATTAAACCACTGTTTTTTCTATGTTTTTCTCAGTAAGGTCGATCGAAAAGAGGCAGTGGGAACATTATCACGTAAATAAGTTTCGAGATCCTCGAAACGACGTTGCAATGTTACATCATATTAATAAATGAATGAAAAAAGTTCGTACTTTAAATTATGTTTTTAGATTTCCTTTTAATTGATAGTGATTTGGAATTATAGGGAAAAGTGTACTAACACACTTCACATTAACGACCTTCGCTTCGCTACGGCCGCTCATGTGGTGTGTCAGTCATTTTTCCCCGTTCATACTTGGAAGAACACTGATTCAATCCATATATGTTTAAGATTTACTGCAAATTACAACATACGGCTGATGACTTTTTAACGTCGATATAAAGAAACAACTGGAAGGAAATGTATTCATTTAAGCATTGAACTGTTTGTGTATGGTATTTATGATCTATTTGAATGACACAGCGTTGCAAGCAACAAACATAATGCGCGCTAAATACCATACAAAAACAGTTCAATACTTATATTTACGTTTTCTCTGCCTCTTATATTCTTTCTTAACTTTTAATGTATATTTAAAATTAAAAATGCCCGCCTTATCGACAGTCAACACAAATTCGTTCAATAGTTTGAACAGCGTATTGTCGCGTGCTGATTGGCAAACAACGTAGTACTTTGAAATTTTATTCCAAAATTCAGTATCAATACAATTGCGTATGATATGTCTATAGGGTGATTTAAGTTTATCAATAGAACTCTGAGCTGAAAGTTAGATTTAAAATTGTTTCGATTTTCCACCTGGAACACATTTCGCGCATGGACAAATACAGTGAACACCGTAAATCCGACCTTGCCCTCCACGAGAGAGTTATTTTTGGAAGTCAATTCGAACTTTTCTCTTTGCTCATTTTGTGAAGAATCCAGGCGTGAATTTATTTGTTGATTGTATGGGAACCTGACAACAGTCGGTAGATTCTATAACAGCATCGTTATTAGACATGTCGTCAGAAACTGAGAAACCGTGGATGCGAGACGCGTGAAACTGATAGCGTTTGAAGTGAGTGATCTTGCGACGGAGCACAGGTTCGTTACAAATGTCTGAAATGTTTATGTGTGCTGTGACTCATATCAGTAGGTCTGTAACATATGTGTCAGTAGGTCTATAGAATATGAGTATTTCAGACATTTGTAACGAACCCCTGTTGATCAGTGCAGTGTAACAGACGATATTTCTTATAAATTGCATAAGCGTTAAAATTGTTTCCATTGCCGGCATTGGTGATTTCAACCAATGTGCATTTTGTACGATATTGCAGACCTTGGTCTTGTTTTCGTTCTAATAAAAGTGTTTTTTATTTTATTTTTTATTTTGCACATAAATTGTCAATGACATTGTCAAATCTCACAATGCCCAGTAATATTTCAGCAGTCATCATGTTTATTTATATTGGATGTTGTAGTTCCGGTCAGTGTTGTATTAATACGCTAAGAATTGTGTTTCGTGATGCATGGTAATTAAATTCCCATCAACGACACAGCTTTCAAAAAGGCTATATAGTGACAATGCCATGCAAATGTAAATATATCATATTGTTTTCCTGCTTCATAATAATTCTATGAGACATGAGATCTCCTTGTATATTTACAATAATGATTGGTTGTCCATTGCAGTCAATACAGAGTTCAGACAATTTTAATGGTTTTTGTTGTTTTGTAAAGGAATAAAGAAAAAGCTGCAGTCTAATGTAACCTGTTAGCTTGGACACCAGCCGAATTGGAATAGTGTATCGGATAGTATGTTTGTATATGATGTAGAACTTAACATGCCTGATAGAGAATGGCTGGCATTTGTTAACAAACTCGATTGTGCAGTCGTCTCATATATCTCCAATCAGAGCAGCAATTTCTTTCTTTATTTATTTATTCATTTGTTTTCCTAAAACCATGTTGATATAATTATATTCTTAAAGAGCTCAAACCAGTCACAATTAGTTAAATATGAAAAACGAGCCGATCGCATTACATGCATATATAGTGTATATACATCTGTATGTGTTTATATAGCACAAGCTGGAGTTGATAGCTACAGATGGTCGTGACATACAAGGAGTGCAAACAGACTTCATAACGACCACGCCCGGGGAGAGAATCGACTTCCTGCTGCGCACGACGGAGACCCCGGACAACTACTGGTTCCGGGTCGAGGTATTATAACAATATTAATTATCTCCTGACATGTGTGTATAATCCTGTTCAAATATTTCACACAATCAAATTTTAATGTTTACATTCGCTCCCATTGAAGCTGTGTAAACCGTGACTGCGTATACATTACCGTATACGCAGTGAGATTCCTTGGAGACCATTGTTTCCTATTGATGACGTAATTTACATTGTGACGTCATAATGGTAACGTTGGAGATCCATCGCTGCTCGCAGGCTGTAGGCTGTTCATTTGTTTGGATGTACGCACGTTACGGAGGTTTTGTACCATTATAAAAGCAAATGTATTGGAGTTAGCTTTATTCTGAGTGTACCATCATACTAGGAAAATATTTAAATATAAGAATTGATCTTCAGTTTGACTGTGTATACGGTAGTATGAACGCAGTTGGCAACGAACATATTCTTTATGGAGCGCTTACACGCTTCCTTGAATATGTTCGTTGCCAACTGCGTTCATACTACCGTATACAAAGTCAAAATAAAGGTCAATCCTTAAATGAATTAGTCTAGTTGATTGAGTATTCCTCATATCTTTACATGGCTTACTTCAAAAGATGCGGGAGTTATATATGTACTCATTCCGCCATCAGCGTCAGTATTGTTTGATGTTTTGCAAGTATTTGAATTGAATTTTATAAACTTAAGTCATTGTACTAAATTTGAAGGGTGCTGAGATTTGTTTAGGGTCCAACATTAATAAAATGAAGTCAAAACACCAGTATATACAATATACCCATTTTGACAAGTATTTTTGACTATATTTTATGCTAAAATATTGGTGGAAGTGTTAACATTCATTGATAACTCTCTAGTATTTGAAGTGGGATGCTTTGTGTAACATAAATATTCCCTAGGTGGCCCACCATAAGTGCAGTACAGTCGAGTCCAAGTTTTTCTAACGTTAAGAATTTTGAAACAGCTTTTTTATTTTAACTTTTGCACTTAACGATTTTGTACATTGTAAGTGTTGAAATTCACCTTAATATCATTTCTGTACAAAGAAGTTTATAGTCACATTTTGGCCTGTTTTAAGATTTCGCTTTTTATACTCAAATCGCCAGATCGTTTGTGGTGAAAGTAGGATAGTGATGATATATAACAGTCAATATTTCTTCCATTTCCTGAAACCAGACATTGATGCATAAAAGCAAACATAATTTGATTCTCCCTGTTTTGAACCTAATACATTATCGAATATTCATGGAATCGGCGCACTATGGTGTTATTAAACAGCTGTTTTTTATTTTTATTTTTTCTCCAGCTACTTATCGTTTGAATTCGTATATATCTGAATTGGCAGGCGAACGGCGCCGGGCAAGTGAAAGGGATTGTCCAGTATGACACTGTAGATGAAGGGGTGCCTGCCACCACAAAGAAACGCTGTTTGGCCACGGACGTGTGTAAAGACATCAATTGCATGATTCAGTACGTACGTAGCATGTCAAATCTAACACCTCTAGTCTAACGATAAATGAAGCGGAAGTTTTGCGTTCGTTATGCATGGTTCTATCACGTCCAATTTGCATTGAAGTCGTGGATTATTACGAGCCTATATTCTGCAATGTACAAGAAACGTTCGCCCAGTAAAATTCGTGAAACCGTTCTCATGCTCAAACTCAATTTCTGTCTTATTCCGGTGATAAATTAATGAAAATTGCATTTTTCAGTGCTGTGTAAGAGGTTTGGAGAGACTAAGAGCAGAATGACATTTTGAATGTTTAAATTAGACAGTATTTTACCCTATCATATAAGTTTGTGTTCCAATATAATCGTATTCCTAAACAAAAAACACACATTTTATTATATCTTCATTTTAGAAATGTGTGGAAACATAGCAATACCAATTAAACAAACGATACCTGCAATATTCTATATAGTTTATCATTGTTGCGAAATCAAAGTTGAAGAAATGTGGTCGCTGAAATTTGAGTTGAGAAAGATACTAGCCACAAAACAACAGTCCTGTAATAGTGTTTGTGAGTGACCACATTGTTTGTATTGGTGTTTCCAGAGAGTTTAATCCTGACCTCAACATAAGTTGTATGGCCGTTTCACAGCTACGTATAGCCAAACACGAACCAGAGAAAAGATCTGTACCCAAATACACAGATGACAGGATGTTCAGAGAAATATTTCTCAGCGTGCATGTCCAGAGTAAGTATCTTCGTGAAAATTCAATAAAGTTTTGAAATATAGATACTCTTTCAATTAAACCAAATATATTCTTATAATGGGTTATTATAATGGGTTATTCAAGACAGACCATATAACCTTAACATGCTCTTGATACTGATGAACTTGATAAAATAAACAGAAAAGTTTAATATCTGACCTCATTAATTGTTCTGAAATTTTATATTCATAGCTGCACTGGTTTTATTAACAGCGCAATTTTCTATTGTATCATGTATGGCAAACATTATGTTCACATTTTAATATAGCGATTAACATATCTTAAAAGGTAAATGTTTATACCAAAGTACCCTATTGATTTTTCTATCATTTCTTTGTAGCTGTTACAGATATCGCACATATAAACGGAAGGAGCTTCCTGAAACCAACCAGTCCTCCCCAGGTAAAAACTGGTAGATAAAATCAACTTAATCTTAACAACAAACATATAATGTGTCATATTGTTCCAAGTTAAGGGATGTCATTCAATTATACTTCTTTCTAAATTTGATTTAATTCAAAGGTCGGAAGTTCTTGCAAAGTTCTATGAGGTTCCAGTTTCGTCCAAATCAATAAACATATTTTGTGAGAAACCGTATAGAGTATTGATACATTTGTAGTTAGCTTACGGTAAGATTTTTAAATAATTAACGGAGTTCAACATGTTTAGTATATCACAATTCTACTTCTACAGACCTACCCTAACATGGATGATGCGACGGTGCCCTGTAACAGGACAGACCTCGTCTGTTCCGCAGAGGTGTGTTACTGTACTCACATCATCAAACTGGAACTCGGTAGCACTGTCCAGTTCGTCATGGTCAATCCGGGTTAGTGATAAAGCTATGTCTCTTTACTTACTGTAGGACATTGCCTAAGTAGTTGGATAATGAAACAGCAGGTTCACATGTTACATGTGCTGATGTGCAATAGAGGAATTTTCATATATCGCAGAAACAAAAGAGCAAAAGGGAATATGTCTTTATGGCGAAAAAGTATCTATATTGAATCATAAGTGAGGTGAAATTCATTGAAGAATATAATTTTTAACAAAATGATGTTACTTACCATAAGGAATATTTCAAAAAGCTTATTCAATATTTCGATTTCATATTAACTACTCATTCCCATTTGAACTCAAAAACAGAGGAAGTACTTTACTTTTCATATTAATATATATTATTATATAACAACATAGAAATAATTCGAATTCGCTTTGTATTGAAAATTTAAATCATTAGTTTTAACAAATTGGTTCTTAAGATTATAACATTGTATTTTTGTAACGTGAGCACGTGGATTGATGCAGGTTACACATCAATGTTTGACAGGTCCCATTGTTAACGAAACGGAGCTTGGCCTTCGACACCCCATGCACATACACGGTCACACATTTCACGTGCTGAAAGTTGCCTACTCCGAGTACAATGCCTCTGGGTACTCCGTCGGTCTGAACAAAGATATCCTATGTGATTCGGAGTTCTGTGATAACGCTTCGTGGTCCAACGATACCTGGGGAGGGGATAACATTCCCGGACTTAATTTGGAGGATCCGCCACTCATGGATACGGTATTGGTCCCTAGGCACGGTTACACTGTCGTCAGGATGGTCGCTAACAACCCGGGTAAGTCGTCTCTTTAACAAAACAATTGCAACGAACAACCCGGGTAAGCCGCCTCTTAACACAACAATTACAACAAACAACCCGGGTGGTCGCCTCTTAACAAAACAATTACAACAAGCAACCCGGGTAGGGCGCCTCTAAATAAACATAAAATCAATGCAACAAACAACTTGGGTAGATGGCCATTAAAAAGACAAAAATAAGATAAAACAAACAGCATTGCTTGGTCACTTGTAAATATACATACAAAAAATACAACACAGAAAACCTAAACTATGGGACACTGCATGAAGCAACAAATTAGAAATGACAAGACGTCAAAACAAAAGGGAAAACAACTTAATTTACAAATAAAGCAATTGGGACCGAATAAGGTTTTTGTTTGATATTAAAGACGTTTTCAGTCATTGCATACACAGAAATACAAAGTAGTAAATAAGGTCATGATGTCGATCGTAAAAATTCTATAACGTCCTTTAAAGCCACATATTGGTATATACACTAATCGTTCGTTGAGCTATCCAGAAAAAAAATCATATTAAAATGTATAAATAAGCGTGTAGCCATAATTATTTGTATATCTATAAACATTTGAGGACTTTATTCGATTAACAGACAATTTGTACTATATTGAGGAGAAATGTGTATCACATTAAGTTATTAATGTTTATAGATGTGAAAAGGGATTGTCCAAATTGATACGTTACTGTAATGTTAATTGATAATCGATTTATCCGAGTCATATGTTGATAGGTTAAACATGTTACAATAGAGAAGACGTAACTATGTCAAAATCTTAAATTGATTAATCTAGCATTTTCGTTCTCATTTGTTTATTCATACCGTATTTGCTATTATACCCCATATGCGTTTATCTTTACGTCACAAGATCAAATGACGACCATTTGATTATGACACTTGAGATTCGTTGTTGAAGAAGTTTTGAATTTACAGAGGGTTGCAGGTTGTAAGCCGGTAATAAATATATTTGATTATGTATCATCACCAAATACCTACATATGTATACACATGTACACGGCAACACAATACATTGCTGTTTCAGGGTTCTGGTTCTTGCACTGTCACATTGAGATCCATCAGATTACAGGAATGGCTCTAATACTGCAGGTCGGGGATGTGGACCAGATGCCTTCCACGCCCAAAAACTTCCCTACCTGTGGGAACTTCAACTTTCCACAGGAAGAATTTGACAAATTTGTCAGTGGTTAGTAAAACGTTATTTTTATTTGACAATGCTAACTGTTTTCTCATCTCTGTTGAATTTCAATTTGTTTCCAATATTTCTGTTGATTTGTGTGATTTTTTGTTTTTTGAAAACTAAAACAAGTTCGAAAGTTATCAAGAGTTATCGAAAGTCTACACCTGTTTTCTCACCGAGGTACCAATAACCAATCCCATTGTGAATGTATAACACCGACCTAAAACAGACATTATTTTGTTTGCAGTTTCCACTGAGACAGGTGTACCGAAAACGTCTTCTTTGCGTCCTGGTTTGAAACTAAAGTCCGGACTGTCAGCAATCAATGCCATCATGAAAGACGACAACTCCGATAGGTGTGATTCCAGCAAACATTCCGACAGAGAGACCATCTACGTCATCACCATCTGTATCCTGGTCCCCCTTCTGATCATGGTCTCAGCTTTATGCTGGTGGCAGTGTAACGGGAGAGAGACTGTGTCTCACAAGGGAGCAGACAACAAATATAACCTACTGCGGGCAGATAATGGCAACGGCGGCAGCACATCAGACACGTCCAATTACCTCACGTTCAGTAGGATTTGACAGCGTCTTTATGTCACATTTGATTGATCATTTACAAGATTCTATGCCTTCAACAGATTTTATAAAAAGTTTTTTTCATTGATTTTTGATCATATGTTGTTTGCATCGAGTGTTTTTGTGATTTCCTATTTCATAATTGTTATCTTAAATTGTATATCTCATAATTATCATTCTAAATTAAATGTTTGGAATTTTTCATCGTATCAATCAAGGTTAAATTGTTTCTTTTGTAAAAAATATGGTTCATTGTTTTACTTTTTGCTAATAAAGCTGCACATTTCCATTAACTGGTCTCCTTTGTTTTATACAATTTACGTCAATTTTATTAGATTCAAAATGCTGACTAGAACTTGAGAATAACCTAGGTACATATGAAGCGATGCATCATATATCCATTCACTTGCTTTTAGAAGTACAATATGAATTTTCTGTGTGATATATAAAATTACGTTACGCGCTATATTTTCTACAACGTTTTCTGCGATTCAATAGTTTTGAAATCAAACGATCAATCGTCAGAGTTCATTGGTAACTTCTCACCAAGCAAAATATTTACTGGAAACAAGTTTGTCTGCAAGGTTAAATATATAATTCCATCGTACATCTCGGCAAATCAGAACAATCATTCTTACACTGTATCGACGCACAATATATTCTTAATGTTAAAAATATAACCAAATATCTTATAAAAGTTTAGAACGTTTATTTATCAAAAGACTATAAACGATAAAAGTGTAATGAGTATCCCCTTACTAGATTCAAGAGTCAAAACGCTTTATTTAATTTCTTAGATAACAAACATCAAACATAGGCTATGTAGAACTATTGTTACGACAAGCGGAGGTACACAGATTAGTATCAATAAAGGGTTTGTTACACCTAAAAGCACGCTACATGTACATACAGAAAATGAGTACGATTATACACTTGTACATAAAAGCATAATGCAAACATTTATATGGGCATGTATATAAATGCTCTATGGGCATAAGCAGAATATGAAATATAGTATTAAGCAAATGAAAGACAAAAACTCAAGCCTATACATATGTATATCACAAAATGTTGACAGTACAAACAGAAACAACACCTATCAGAATACAGCAAATTTAAAGGAGATTTCTATGACAAGTTAAATTTAAATATCCTCATTCACTTCGAACCATTTTAAACGAGTTTATAGAGAGGTGGTCTTGTGTATAGTATCCAGCTTACAAATATTAAGAAAAAATATTTCGTATATCTCAATCAACATCCGGACATTTTACTTTTTCAAATATATAAATATATATATATATATATATATACATAATTTGATAAAGCGTCCTATCTAGCTTACATAAGCCACTCTAAAGAGCTTTATAGTACATAGATATACAATTTTATACAATTAATACACTTAGCATATCCATTATTCAATACAATACTGAGGAATTTGCAGGAGCTGCCTTAACAGGCGCTAACTACTAGTCCTATGCCACTTGACTAATATCTCCCTATTAGTGTATGCCTGCGTATGTGCTGGAGATGTTTTGTGTTCTGTTTGAAGTGGGACGTGCTGCAAACGGTATCATTTAAAGTGCCACCTCACTTGAATGCTACAGCACAGTTACCTCAACATCCTACCCGGACCATTTTATGTTGTCCATTAATATTCACTTAGACTAGAGAGTCATCAGTTCCACAGGCACAGCTGGCTTGTTTTGGTTATGAAGGAATAACAAAAATGTGTGTCCGATAATTGTCATTATTTTAATGACGAATGTTTGCCAAGAGAACCTGGCAACAACATATTTTATGAAACATATAAACTACATTACATATTATCAATGAATAACCGAAAGGCGGCACCTAGAAAATGCCAAACCTATCAAAGGCCTTAATATTGTTCTGAACAACAGTCAGACAGTATTCTGGCCCCACGCCGGTGTATTTATATTCCACCTGGGTAGTTGGAGTTGTGTGGGCAGGAGAAAACACTTTCTCTGAATATTCCATGCGTACGACCACTTCAGGGATCGAATCCCAGCCGCCTGCTTGGAAGGCCGGTGTGATAACCACTCGACCAATCCGCCCATTAAAGACATATAAAGTCTTGTGACATATGACCCTAACAAAAGCCATGTGACCTCGTGATCGTAACTGTTGTTATGTGACCTTAGTTGCTATCATGTGACCATACCCATGGTCGTGTGGCACATACTGGTTTGTTTGGTTAAATAGCTGTATTTTTCAATCAAACATTTAAAAGAATATATCAATATTTTGATCTTGTTTCATGCTAGGCATTATTAATTATCGATTCCAGTTTGCTCAGTAGTACTTTATAATGACCTTTGACGTACATGTCATTGATGTTAACCTGTAATATAAGTACAATAATAAATCGGAGACCCCGTTGATATTGAGTGTTAGTTGTTGTGATGTGGACTCCCTTGTGTTACCGCATCGTTATGTCACCACCACGTACGCCGCCCATATACTGTCTGCTGCTGAGTACGTGAAAATCCCTAACGTTACTTAAACCGTATGTGGAATTTGTTTAGCTAACGAAATATTGTCATTTCAGTATATACGAGATTTCATCCATGAATTCCCTTTTGCGTCTGTGCTTCGCAAACGTCCAATGATAGCCTGTGATCAATTGATGACGGGTTGGGGGAATCGAATAAACAACCTCAAAAAGGAGGGCGACAAGGACAGGCGGCTGATATTTTGATCAGAAGATTTTGTTTGGTTTAGCCACCTTCTATGTGTTAAACAGACGTTGGATTTGGCGAGATGAAAGGTGTGCTGATCTACATTGCATAACTCTTGTTTTCTAATTGGATAATTTGTTCTGTTCGATACTATCGATGTGAAAAACTTAACATTGCCGTTCAGCATTGTGTTTGTTTTGGTTGAGTGAGTACCCTACCTGTCGATTACGTGTCACTCATACACCTGTCGCTTTGAACTATGCACGTGAGTACATCCCACGACTGACAACCTGTAACGCTGTTTAATCATATTGACCACTATGTCATCTGTTCATACCCCAGTGTCCGAACGCCAAAAGAGAACAATTGTTAAAACATTTAGTCCATCTGAGTATGAACAGGTCCATGGGGATAATGTAAATGCTCCACCACCTATGAGAAGGAGACATTCTATGGATAATCTGTCTGCAACTTGTGGTAAAAAAAGTAAGCCACCAGGGTAAAATTTTCGATCCACAAGATCTGATAATATCTTCTATACAGAGTCCGGAATTTTTAAAAGCAGTTGCTCTTTGTCTGGCTTAAGCCATCGCTCCTACTCTTACAATCATGCTCAAAGCTATCGTTGAGCCTTTGACTAAACAAATTGCCTTACTTATCACAGAGGTCAAAGACATTTCTACCTGTCAACAGACAGATGTGTCTCATCTATAAAATGGAAACATCAAGCTTCAGGCTGAAGTTAAGACTTTGAACGAAAATGTTGTTTCGCTTGAGTCGGGCCTTGAAGAGTTGGAACAATACGGTCGGAGAACGTCGCTCCGTTTTCACGGTTTACCGATGACACAGAGTGAGCTTGTTTGTACAGACGACCTTGTTGTTAATCTGTGTAATAATAAAATCAAGATGTCTCCACCTCTGACTACCGAAGATATTCACCGTTCGCACATTATTGGCAAACTCAGAAACGGAAAATGGCAAATTGTATGCAGATTCAAAAACTGGAAAATTAGAAATAAAATATTTATGTCCAAAACTGCCCTTAAAAAAACCACAGATCCGGATCATTCAATGTATTTATATATAAGATCTAACAAGACAGACAGAAACGCATCGGTGAACTTTCCCGTGGGTGTAAAGCCAAAAGCATTGCTTCATACTGAACGAACGACGGTCGCATATTTGTCAAAGTCACGATGGAGTCGCAGAAGGTATAAGTCAAGTCTTACGACGATATTGCGCACTATGTCCCTCACTCGGAGGAGGGAGGTTCTCGTCTAACAGACTCCATTTTCTAGTTAACAAAAAAACAAAAACAAAACTAAAAAAATCTAGAAATTGTTAATTCATTTGATCTGAATTTAAAGCACTGTAAATACCATATGTATTCTATGTACAATGTAGTTTACTCAGAAAAGGGTTTTTTTGTTTGTCTTTTTTATTCCTGACTGTATTTAATTTGGTACTGGCGTTTTCAATTCATAAGAGTTTTCCGTACAGTCAGTCGTGCGTAAGTCTTAACGTTTGTTTCTAAACATGATTGTTAATTTGGATTCAATGGTGTTTTTATTAGCTTGAATAAGTATTCATATTATATATAATTGAACTGATTAATATTCATAATTTAGGGTGGCTTTATGCCGCTTAAGTGCGCGTTACTAAATAATCAAGTATATTAGTGCATACAAGCAAAGGCGATGTAATGAACACAAATGACTGCATACCGGAATAATGATGCATACTATATACATAAATCGGGAAAAGTTGGTACGTATGTATAGCTTTGTGACTCTTTCGTGTCATGTATGTATAATTCTCCCTCTTCGCTTGGTTCGCAAATATGTTGTGATACTATGCTGTCACGATTGACATTTGTTCAATACAACAAATGTATATCAAACATTATATTGGATTCGGTTTAGAGACTGACCACCTAGATATTACTAGATTACTAATAATGTTTGATATGCATTTGTTGTATTGAACATAAATATATCGGAGCGTATTCATAGGTTGTGTATTTGTGTCTACTTAGTGCACATTCCCAAACCAAGAGCATACACACAGATTTAAGTGTGTGCTCTGGTAACTTGGTTTACATTGATATATTACCTAAGGTGTCACAGGAACATAGTGTGCTTTCATGTACTACTGCTTTTAATTATATGGTAAATGTAACCAAACAACTTAGACACATGTGTTTATAGCGCTGTTACTTAGATACGTTCTAGCGTATACACTTGTGAAGTCATATCATTGAATTATGTCACACTACAGTAAATTGTATAATACAAACTGATGTTCACAAATTATGTCATAGTATTATGTATTTATTTACTCATTTTCATTTATTTATTCATTTTTTAAAAATCACCGTACCTTATGTTGCGTTTGACATGATATATGTTGCTTGGACAAGTTTGGGTTTTCAAATTTTCGGAGCGATCCGCTCCTTTATCAAGACACAGTGAAACAGAACAGTTACATGTGCATATACATCATATTACAAGAAGATAGAATTGATATCAATACTATCTTCTTGTAATATGTTGTATATGTACATGTAACTGTTCTGTTT